TTAGGGTTAATATTCTTATCTTAAAGCTGACTTTGTTTTAGATAAATAAGATAATTCAAATCTGTAACAAATATCTCCGAGTACTATATCAGGGAAACCTGATACCTTATCTTTATTCCGTCTAATAACTATTATCATCATTTTATGCACACTTCGTAACCAAATAAAAGATTAACTTTATCGTTCATGAACCTTGTAAATATACTAGTTGGGTGCCCGTCACGCCGGTCACCCTATTTGACCTGTAACCTTATGTTTCAATAAATAGTTAGTTAAGTGTAAAATCTTGCGTTGAAGAGACCTGGCTTAAACCTTAGGTAAAGACAGAAATACAGTGCATTTTCTTTAGTAAGCTTGACTCGGAAAGACTGGCATTTTGTGACAAATCTACTTTTTAAACACATACCGAACCCATTAGACCTCAATAGTCTTATTCAGATTTCACGTCAAACTAAATTAAAGAGTCTGTTAACATAATTTCTAATGACCATACATGCAAAATGGCAGTGCCTGATCTACGACGGTACCTGAAACAGCTTTCTCTGATCGAGTATGAATTAGATATGCATGTTTTTGTTTATTTAAACTGTTTGTATCATTTGTGATTTCTCTGCAAAAATGACTTGCGGAATTCTTACTTATAAGAAACAATGGAAAAATTCAAACTAAAAAATAATCAAGTTAACTTTCACATTTTAATCAGATAAAGAATTTAAGGGTATCGTTGTAAATCTACCAATGCTTATATCTTTGCATGAAGTGTCACTTTAAATTACGCTTACAGTCCCTTTAACTAGCTTCCACGTCAGATCAAAATTGTGTTTATCATAATCTCCGCGACGAGGAGCTATTGAGAAAAACTAATATGTTTAATTATATACATATAACCGGATACATTTTCGTACAATTAATGTCGCATAGATTTGACCTTCTCCCAGTGATTTGTTAAAAATAGATGTTTTCGTCTGAAATATATTCCCTTAAAACCATCCAAAATAAGATTTCCTAAGAAATATTTTCGAATAGTTTTCTTCATAAGTTTACTAAGTGGCTTCAGATTAAAGTTTAATCTTAGAATGGATTTCTTATTTTATGGATTTAAATGAAAGTTACTATACAATAAGTGAAATTCTATTTATTTTCTATTTCTATTTGCAATTTACATTTCGTCATCTTAAATTTGGTTAATTTACATCTGGTCAACATTACATTTGGTCATTTAACATATGGTCAATTTACATCTGGTCAATTTATATCTGGTCAATTTACATCTGGTCAATTTATATCTGGTCAACATTACATTTGGTAAATTTACATCTGGTCAATTTATACCTGGTTAAAATTACATTTGGTAAATTTACACCTGGTCAACATTACATTTGGTCAATTTACATCTGGTCAACATAACATTTGGTCAACATTACATTTGGTCAACATTACATTTGGTCAACATTACATTTGGTCAACATTACATTTGGTCAATTTACATCTGGTCAATTTACAAATGGACAACATTACATTTGGTCAATTTACATCTGGTCAATTTACATTTCGTCATTTTTAAATTTTGTCAACTGTGACAATAGTCTTAAATTCGGTCAACTTTAAACTTTCAGCATTGTCGCACAAAATAAAAATAAAAATCAGATTTCAGTCGGTTCTCAGATTCAATATGGAAAACTGTAATCGATCTAATTTTATCTTGTCCAGCAGTAAATAGAACTTATTTCATTACCAATTTAAACGTGAGAATTAGACGGACATCAGATACTGTATATGCTAAGCTAAGTGATTCACTTATATTCAAAACTATTCAAAATACTGAACAAGTTAACAGATCGTAGAAAATTGTTTTGTGGGGTCACATAGGACCCCAAGAAAAGATATGATTGATTAAATAAAAAGTCTAGGCTCCAAAATGTTGTTTTCTTAAAAAAAAATTTTAAGGTGTTAAATATGGTTTCATGTAAGGCAAAAAACAAGACCGTTCTGTAATACTTGGAGGGCCGCTTACAATAACGCTGTTAGTCCTTTTATTCATTGCGAACCAGGAAACTGAAGAATATGAAAACGACATTCAGGAGCACTGAAGCGCATTTGATGTTGTCACAAAGCAAATAGCTTTACTAGTAAGTTATTAAATGACTTATTAAGGGAAATGGGTCTGATTAAACTGCACAATTCCCTGTGCCTCATCTTCATTAGTCTATTTAAAGTCATAAGTTCACCCCATTCTAAAAGTTGCATGAACCGTGCCGGTACAACACATGCTTTGTATGGAGTCCTTCGTACTGTCCAGTCAGGCTACCCAGTGTAGAGTGGACCCACCAAGTTTTATACAAGTGTAACCTGACAAGATCCCTGTCAGTGTGTTTAATACTCTGCTTCCTATTCCAGAGTTTTCTGGTTATCACTGTATCGTATACAAAATATTCAGAAATAACCCATAGCTGTGCAGTTAAAAAATATGCAGTTTGAAATTTAGAATTAAAATTTGACATTTTAAAGTTAAAAATATTCAGATTTGACATTTGTTGCAAAAAAATTAGGTTCGACATAATAATGTACTTTGATTTATAAAAAATGTTGTTAACAAAATTTTGAGATGGATTTTGTTGCACAAAGATTTTTTTTCAATATATTTTACTGGATCTATAAAAAATTAGGAATTGTAAGAACAAAACACAACATTTTTCTCTCAAACATTAGTGGCATTTAAAAAAATCTTTCCTTTTCATAAAAACCAGGGTTTGAGGCCGTTTCTCACCCCTTTATAAAGTTGCTTTTCAAGCCTAATTTTCGCACTTTTGGTGGATTATCTAAAATTGTTTAAGTTGACATTTATTCCAGGCAAAACTTTTCAGTTTTACCCGTCCATGAACCTCCCCTGGGGTCATGTAAGTTGCCACAACAAATCTGTTCAGCTGTTTTGACGTTTATTAGAAACAAACAAGCAGACAAATGGAATCGGGGGAGAGAAAAAAGTAAATACACTCTAATCAATATGTACAGCTTTAGATTCATTTGAACAAAGTATTTTTAGAATTTTCAGAAGCGTGTATTTCTACTTATTTTGAGTGGTTCTATTTCTAAAATCTTAATAGCGAGTAATCCATCTAACCTTTTAGAATTATTTCTATTACAGAAAATATATATATTAGCACAATTTTATTTCTGTCGATGTAATAATAATAAGTCTGGTAAATATATTTTTTTAAATTCTTTAAAGAATGCAAATTTTTATACAAAATCTAAGAATTTTTACTTTATTTCCAGTTTTACATTACAAAACAGCCACGGGAAAATAATGTATAAATAAGAATAAAAATATATTAATTAGATTAATAAAGTATTAAAGATATCAGTTTACACCTCATCTTTTACGTTACTTCTATATTCCTATTTTTCAAGGCTAAATTTAGAAAACACTTCCCCATTTTTGTGTAACATAGACTCCAATGCATTAAATAAGAATGGGTTTTAAAATAACGCTCAAGTTTATAAATTATTTGAACATATTTTACAGTAACAGAAAAGTTGTAAATGATTCCTAAACTTTTTTTAATTTCACGAAAAGAAAAAAAATATGCGGAAATTTATTATAATATAAAATTTCCGAAATTCGAACATAAATCGGAAAAAAATGGCAAAAATCTTTGAAATTATTTAAAACGTCAAACACAACGTTGTACAATAAACGAAGTACATTGAACACACACTGAATCCTATGTACTATGTAATGTAGGTACATGTTTCCGTTACACAGTACAATATAATCATGGTACACAGAAGTAAACACACCGAGTCGTATGTACACTATGTTGTAAAATCGAATAGTACAGTACAACTTAAAACCAAGTACGAGTTCACTGAATATTCAATATGTACAATTTGCTGTACAACCATGTACATGTTTCACGTTCACAAGTTGTAGGAATCCAAAGTCTCGAATACTGACTATGTGTAATGTATCGAGACCACCTGCTGCTGTTCTGCGCATCTGAAATCCTCCAGTTCTGCGCATTTATTGATCTCATATTATACACTGTTGATTCACTGTTCATTCTCCATTTTATTCTCTACAGTCATGAAATATACAGAGGGATCATATAAACAAACATTAGTGTAAAATAAAAATAAATTTTCCCTAAAAGAGCCATGTTAGTGATGTATTAACATTTAAAACATATAAAAATATGTACGTGACAAGAAATATTATCATTTAAACTATGATTTCCCGTTTTTGTTTCAAAATAATGATAATTAGATTAAAATACGAATAATGTTTGGATTTGATGCAACATGACACATGTAAAACAATGCCAATCAAAAACATTTATTTATAATGTATTTATATACATAACGAACAACTAAAAGAAGCGTAAAACTAAAAATTATACTTTTTAAGCTCGCACAAAGTTTTAAAAGATTGTAATCAGTCGTCATATTCGTTTATTTATAAAAGTAAATAGTTAAAAATTTAACATTGGTAAAATATGAAAATTTGAAGCTTATTTGCATAGAGAATTCAATACACCATATTTATAAACAAACAAAAGGTCGTATAACGACACAAGACGATCCCTACCACTCAGTGGGGTTGGGAGGGAGAGGGGTTAAAGAAGATGTTTACTATGAATAATGAATAACTCCATAAAATATTTATTTATTTATTCCACAAAGTTATGAAACATTTCCCTCCGAGAAATAAAAGTTATTTGAATAAATTTCAAAATTCTAGAAACTTCAACCTAGGATTAAAATATAGGATTCTTTAGAACAGATGTTTTATTTTAATATTATTTAATTGACCTGAGGTTTCAAAACCTCCCCTGTCCTCACCCCACCCCCTCTCTCTGAGGTTTGAACTTTACCCCCCCCCCCTGCCCCTCTCTAAATAGGTAGAATTAAAGTTGAAAACACATAAATTTTCAAATATGTCAAAAAAATATATGAAAATATAGTTAAGTAAAGTGTTTTTCCAAAAAATAAAAAATTTGTTGATTTTCATTACTAATTATATTTTCTCCGAATGTTAGGAAAAAACAACATAGTACAGGAGGACATAAAATTAATAAAATTTCTAATTCAAACTATCTCACAATTGTAAACATTAAAATTAATTATTCGTATCTGGATCCGGATTCAGTTCTTCTCAGATTTCAGGATCCAAGATCCGGATAAATTTCTCCGAGGGTCAGTTCCATCAAGGCCGAAGAGGGAATTTATTTTTAGGAATACTTGAATACTTTTCTGGATTATTTTTTACTTTAGTTTCCGCCATTAATTTTAACCTTTTCCATCTTTCCCCCGGGGGATACTGTACACCATCACCAGCTCTAAACATTAAACATTATTCTACTAAAGGGACTGTACAGTGTACACCATCACCAGGTCTAAACATTAAACATTATTCTACTAAAGGGACTGTACAGTGTACACCATCAACAGCTCTAAACATTAAACATTATTCTACTAAAAGGACTGTACAGTGTACACCATCACCAGCTCTAAACATTAAACATTATTCAACTAAAGGGACTGTACGGTGTACACCATCACCAGCTCTAAACATTAAACATTATTCTACTAAAGGGACTGTACAGTGTGCACCATCACCAGCTCTAAACATTAAACATTATTCTACTAAAGGGACTGTACAGTGTACACCATCACCAGCTCTAAACATTAAACATGATTCTATACTAAAGATAATTTTACTGACATTCTGACTAGAAAAATCAATTTTTCCCCCTCCCATTTTGAAAATAATTATTTTCCCACAGTAGCCATATAATTTTTTAGGATTTAATTCGCTGAATTGGGAAAATAAATTATTTTAAGGTAATCATTAGGCAAAACATTAAAAGCTTTTTCTGATCAAGTATGAATTACATATCCATGATGTTGTTTCGTTAACCTGTTTATATAGCCTCTGCAATTTCGATGCATACGTGAAAAGTTACTAGCGTATTTCTTATTTATAAGAAGCAATTGAGAAATTATCAGAAATGAAGACAATTTGAGTAGGGAAACGACGGTATCAGATGTGAATCAGACATTGCCATCTTTGCATTGTGGGTCCCTTGAAATTACGCTAACAGTCTCTTTAAGTTGAGCACTGACCTGAAGTTTGTGGAGACAGTAAACTCTCTTTTCTTCCTGATCTTGTTTTCTATCTCTACACCCTCACACTCCTCATCACTAGGCAATTACAGTGAGACCCATAATACTGTGGACTATGAAGACATTTAAGCACAGGGGTGTATATTTGTCAAATTGGAAAAAATGAAAAATTTGGACATCATAAGGCTAGATTTTAAACCATTTATCCTTTTTACCCAAAAAAATCATTGAATTTACTCTAAAATCCTTTATTTACCCTAATTCAACGAATAAAACCCCTAGAAAAATACTTTGCCCACAGCGCCAACATAAACAACTTTTGGAGAAAAAAAATAATTTCGATTGGGANCAATGGGGGGTAGGAGAAAAATTTATTTTTCGAGTAAATGTATAAACCACTGTTCCAAGAAATATTACTTGTGCTTGTTGTAGTTATAAGGCTACTAGTTTTATAAGTGGCTTGAAAAACGTTTATTAAAACGGGTCTGTGTACATTGAACAATTGTTGTCTTTTATATTTGTTGGACTATTCATAATAACTGAATGTCAAGCAGATCTTCCTTTTTTGTAATGCACAGCACTGTCCTGTACTGTACTAGAACAGCACTGTCCTGTACTGTACTAGCACTGTCGTGTACTAGCACTGTCCTGTACTGTCCTGTCCTGTACTGTAATGTACTGTACTGTACTGTACTGTACTGTACTGTACTGTACTGTACTGAACTGTACTGTACCGTACTCTACCGTACTATACTGTACTACAATGCACTGCACTGTACTGCACTGAACTGTAATAACCTGAACTCTACCTGTACACAGGTTGCCAATGCTCCCTGTCTGACTGTATCTCCCCCTGTATTGCAGCAATCTCTTCATCTCTAAAATCAGAAATATAGAAATTTAATTATTAACAGCGATTAAATTGGCTCTACTTATTTCTGATAATTGTTTCTTAAAATGGAGATCTTAAGAAAAGGTTTTGTAATGATACTATATAAATTCACAAGGAGACTCAAAAAAACAATTTGTAATTTAAACAATTTTTTACATTGAAAATGAAGAATTACAGATTTTATTTTTTTAGATATATTTATCAAAAGAAATTTGTCCAAAATTGAGGTTATGGAATCCAACAAGTATTTTATTAGAGACACCCTCATAATTAAAGATTTATTCTATTTAATTTAAAATTAATTTCTTGCCTGAGACGTTCTTCCAATTCTTGCTGTCTCCGTAACTCTTAAATATATTTCATTGAAGCTTAATAATTTTATATTTTGAAAATCTTTTGTAACTCAATATATGAATATCAAGTCTAACATACATGTTTACTGTTCAGTATATTTTTAAACAAATTATTTTATTTAATCTTCTTTCAAATTCATTTATTATCATTATAAGATTATGTCAAATGCAAAAGACCGATATCATTAATAACCATCAAATTGTAGGTTTTAAGAAGAATTAATCTAATCAACATCAAAGACAATCCGTTTTTATTCCAGTATTTTGTAAATCTTAATAAAATCATGGGAATGCTAAAATAATTTGTTATTTCTAATTAAAAACTGAGCAAATTCATTCTATTTTCTCTTCAAACATATCTTCTCTTTTACTGTTTAGCTAAGGGCTTTAATGATCCCTGCTGTGATTTTCCGTTGGTTGTGTAGGGTTGCCTCCAGAGCTTTCTCACAAGCTTCTCTGAATATTAAATTTAAAAATATTTTTGGTTCAATCCAAAAAAATTCATCTAATCAAAAATTATAAAATAAAAGAGTTGGATTGAAAAAAGTAATTTCCTTATTTAAGGGTGAAACGTTTTGACACTTATTTGTAATGCTCAAATTCACTTTGCACCTCCAGTTCTAACGTTTTCTCTAATGGATTTTTTAAAACGATTCGAGATTTTTTTTTTCAAAATAAAAAAATATTAAAAATTGTTCAAATACTATGAAAATTAATTAAGTTATCAGCAAAAAATCGGGTTTTTAAAACCGACAAATAGAAGGTATTCATTGATTCAAGACGCATCTATAAATAACTTTACAGAAAAATCGACCTTCCCTTAGGACCTGTCTTTTTTAATCGTTAATTACTGAATGAGAATTGATTTTTTTTCAATTTTTTTATAAATATTGCTTCTAATTTGATACTGTATTAGATTATGCTGGTGCAAAAAGGTTTTGACATTTGAAAATTCTTGCTTTTATGATGTGTATCGAGACATACCAACAAAATGTATGAATCCAATATTTTTAAAACTCTAGACCTAATATTCGTTACAACTAAGAAAAATTATAAAATATTTTTGACCAATAATCCTTTCTTTCCAATTCCCAAGTTTTATCTTTAATTTATATTTTTACTTTCAATGAATGGAACTTCAGAAGACATAACTTAGACGTTTAGTTTAAAGGGACTGTAAACGTAATTTAAAGGGACTGTAAACGTGATTTTAAGCGACTTCCTATTTAGAGATCGGCATGTACTTTACCAATCACCCAAAGAGAAAAGGAAGGTAAACCTAAAGAAATTATATAATTTCTCGACATAAAACCGGAGATATCATCCCTATTGATAATCCTATGAAGGTTTAAAGAGTACCTCCTGAGTATTGGGTACACTTTTAATTTTATGTCAATTGATATTATGTTGACAGTCCCTTTAAGATAAATGAAATGTCTACCTCGACAGAAAGCTTTTTGAAATATTTGAAAGGTTCGTCTGGTCTTCGGGGACTTTTTCTTTTTCCTTCTCCCCATCACTTTCTTTGCTGTTTTCATCGTCCTTCTTCGTTTCGTCTGTATCGTCCTTGACGAAGTGATGAAGGAAGGAGCTGGCATCATATTCGTCCAAGACTCCTTTCCATTTTGATTTGGCGATCACACTTCTTCCTTGATAATATTATCAATGATAAAACTTTTAACAGAATATTAATGAATTTATTTTATTTTGATTTAGATTTAGATTCTGATAAAGTGTCAGTTATCCAAGATCTTTAAGTTAAGAAAAATTCATTCATTTACATTTAATAGTCAACTTTTTAGGAAACTAAATATACATTTACCATGTTCTTCCTCTTCGTTATTTTCTTCTTCAGTATTTTCCTCTTTTTCTTCATTTTCATAAGTCTCTTCAGTTCTATTTACTTCTTCAGTCTCATCTGAGTCGGAATCAGCTCCACCGAAGAGACCAAACAAGGACATTTTAACCTACTCCATCATCTGAAATACATTGTAGAAATGCAAACAAAATCTCATCTTTAGTTCATCACACGGTGTAAAGATAATTTCATCAAGATTTGATGGCGCGGAGTTCCCTGAATTCTTTAGACCTTGAAGTCCATTGTGTTGGGTAGGGTACATCCAGATCTAACAAATAACAAATTTGTTTTATTAAAAAATGTACTTAAAGAGACTGTCGAGGTAATCTTAAGTGACTATCAGTTTTAAGTTCAATATGTCCGATTCACAACAGTACCCGTTAGCCAACAATAAGGAAGATATAGTCGTTTTTTTCTTTTAACAAAAATATAAGTTTTTATTGTTTAAGTAACATATTGCATAGTGCATAAATAAATAAATAAATAGATTCATAAGCCATATTTACAGAGAACCGTAATAAATAATGTTCAACTTTTAGGTAATAAAAAAGAATGCTTTCGTGAATCAGTCATGGCACTCTTAAAAATAAGAGTAGTTTGAAATTACGTCGACAACAACCTGTTATAAAAAAGCTTGACAATGAAAATTTCCACATTATCTGTTAAAACTTTAATCTACCTGAACTAATTTCCAACCCAAGGCAGAGTTTTTTCTAATTGAAAGATAAAAGTTCCGATTATCTATTTATGTAAAGTAGTAATCTTTGTTTGTCTGTCTGTTCGTTTGAATGTCTGATTATAACTCTATAAACCCCTGGACAGTTTTGCCTCAACTTTTGATTGGAGAACTTGGTAGAACTACGGAAATGTTCTTAGCTTGGTTTAAAAATTCTAAAAAGTGAGTTGACGTTTGTAAGGAAAATTAGTTTCCCGGCAGCGCTGGAATCCCATGCTAGTAATTAAACTTTAAAAAAAAAGTTTCTGAAATAATTTTGTTCCTTTGAATTATTTGAGTGGCGGCCCATACTCCACATTTGATGCAGATAGACAACGGTTTCTTCTGAAAATATATATTATTATTATCATTGTCATGATTTTTATTATTGCCGATAGTGATTCATTCAAAGAATTGACGCTATACCTTTGCGGTATTTCTGTGCCAATTCATTAAACCGAATGTGTTTCTTAAGCGAAAATTGTACTAGGCTTAAGACCAATCTAACCAATTAGAGTTGTACTTAAAGGGTCTGTCCACGTAATTTAAAGAGTTGCATACATATTGAACAAAAAGGTACCCTTTGATCATTGTCTGATCATTGATTTAAAGATATTTATGTTTTCTATCAGAAAATTGATAATTCTATTTTGTAAATTCTATGTAGAAGTGACTCTCGGATTTATAACTATGCAGCAAAGAAAAGAAAGAAAATTTCGGAGTTCATACATTTTAAGAAAAAAGAAAACGACAATCTCATTGTTTCTTATGTAAAGGTGTAAAGGTTGCCGTCTCATCATTGGGGGGGGGAGGGGTTACTTGATATTATGATGACAGTCCCTTTAATAGTTTCTGGTCCAATATTGTCCAAATAATGATTTATCAGTTTTAGACCTAAACAATTCTTTAATGATTCCCTGACCTGAACAAACATAGCGAGGAACCCTCCAACGAATGCATCTCCTGCTCCGTTGGTGTCAATGATCTGGTCGCTGGTCAGCACCTCTACAGGGTGCTCGGAGATCTGACCTTCACTCACCAGAACAACCGGCTCTTTGCCTGAGATGAAAATTTATGAATGAGCAAAAAAATGATAAAGTAGAAAATTTCTTTTGTAAATAAGTTCAACAATCACATTGGAACATCTTTTAGTTCTTAAGCCACTTGTAATTTAAGCACTTTAAAAGCTTTAAACAAAAGTTATACCCGGTCGAAATGTGCAGCCTTAAAAAATTGCAATGACTGTATTAATAAAAATGATAAATTGAAATAAAAAAGTGTGATCCAAAAATTAAAATTGTTCATTGTTCAACCCTTTATGTACTTTTTTTCCAAAAAGAATAAATTTTCTCCGAAAACATAAAATTTTTTCAGAAAAGATAATTTTTTTTCCGAAAAAAACTTTAAATGTCGGAATAATCGTTATTATACCTTTTAGAGAATTGTTTTAATTGTTATATTCTATTACTATTGGGAGGTGGAAGTGGGTTAACCTTATCAATCATGATTTCAATTATTTACAAATAAAAGTGTCCACTGTGTCCATTTTCACAAAAACTTTAGATTTTTGTTTTACTTTGCCTTTTTTCCGTTTATACAATTTCCCTAAGCACGAAAATAAAATAAAAAGTAAATCTTGAACCTTAGAGGCAAACAAAATGTGAAAATCCAAGAAAAAAAACAATTTTCATAACATTTTGTAAATTGGAAATAAAAATTATGTTGAAATTTTCAATTTTTGGTAAATGTTTTTGAACAATTATTTGTTATTGTAAATTTACTATAAGCCATTTTGATGAATCATATACATTTTGCAGTCCAGATTCAAATTAGAGGATGAATGAAATACTTTTTTGCAAAAATTATAAAAATTAATAGGATATTTATGTCGTGATACAAGTTTCAAATCAGATTTAATTTATATTTCTAGTTTTAAGTTACGTTAAAGGAAGTGTTCGCGAAAAATGAAAGGGCATACAGGCTTACGTCGAAAATTGTTCGATGGTGATCGCTAATATTCTTAACTCTATCTGTTGCGTCCATAAGGAGAAAAAGGTCAATTTAATTCCACAAATCATTCTGATATTACAATCTATAATCATCGAATTTAATTCGACGCATTCGAACATAGTTGATATTTCAAAATATTCTTTATTTGTTTTATATATAATGAAATTTAAACGACAATTAGTTGGCCGCCAGGTGTCTCTGCATTCAATTTGTCTGCATGGTTCCACGTGGGAGAGACTCCTAGCGGACAAAAATCGTTGTTTACGATCTGAGTCGAATATTGCAACTTTCTGATTTTGTATGGACGCTACGTTCTTCGGTATGAGTCGTGTTTAACCCTTTTTGCCTGATGACGCAACAGATAGAAGTAAGATTAGTAGCGATCACCATCGAATAATTTTTTCGCGAACACTCCCTTTAAAAAGAATTTTATGAACTCAATTTTTTGTATATTATTGGTTATGATACTATGCTATTGATAACGGGGAAAAAAAGACGAGTAACATTTTTTTTGAAGGGGGAGGACAAATATACTATTCTAATAAAAAAGATAACTTCAGCAAATGAAGTCCATTTTTAAACTTTTATTATCAAAGGGAGAATTTTATCTACTAAATTATTTAAAGTTTTCTTAATTTAATTCCTTATTAATCGCCAGATACATTTACTATTTTTCTTTAACGTACAAAATAACATTTTATTAGGAAATCTATGATTACTTCATCCAATAAAGAAAAAACAATATATTGAGAATAGATTCCTATATACATCTCAGAACATTTTATTCAAAATCCTTAGTAAATAGTTTTCATGCATCAGATATCAGAGGAGGAAGAATTTTTTTTTTTATCTTTTATTTACTGATACAAATATATTAACGGGGGTGACTGGCTAGGTACAGTAGTTGAACTGAAAGTGCAGTTTTATAAAATAAAGGATTCATTTTAATCTATAGGTAATAAAACATTTTAACGTTCAACTTGACATTGGTTCAAAGCTAAATTTTTTTAATGTTTTTTGTCCGGGATTAAAAAAGGATTTTTTAAAAAAAATCTTGTGAGCAAACCTCTAGAATTATCCAGCCTCATGATTTTTCAAGAACCGGTTTGCGGTAGCAAATATAGAGCGCATAAATGTTTTATAGGTATAAAATGAATCCTGATTTTAATTTCTATATTTCTGCACTCTTAGTTCAACTTCCATACCAAGCCATTCACTCCCTTTATCCGACGTTCAAATGAAGGTGCAAGCCTTTTGAAAAATTCACAGAACATATTTTTTTTTATTTGAGGGGGCAGGGGCAGCCTTCCCAAGCTCCCCTGAAACCAATTCTTGCACACGCCCATGGTTTAGATTCCCCAGACCCTTAAAAACTTACGGATCCCACCAGATATAGGTATTTATAGCAATTTAAACACTTTATCAAATTAAAGAAAAAGTTAAACATAACCTTGAGTGATGATAACAATCCTGCTCCTGCTCCCGTTCTCCTTCGGTAGCATTGCAATCTTCTTAGCTATCTCTTTAACATCGGTTGTTCCCAGATTTTGGCTCTGAAATAGACAATCAAACTGCTTTTTAATATTAAAATATGCTTTTTTTAATAGCAAAATATGTTTTTCTATTAAGTATATTATGTTTTATTAGAAAATTTTTTTTTTCAAGAATTAGGAATGAGATTGAGACATTTAAAGCTTAGAATGAAGAAAAAAAAACTTTTCTTTTACCTCAGCATATGCAGCAGCTTCAGTTTCGTTTCCAAAAATGATGTCTGTGAACGGTAAAACTGATGCCATCTTAAGAATAATTAAATAAGTTTGAAAATAAAAACAAGAATTATCATAAAAATCAGACAAGATTATCCCCGATATTTGACAAGAAAATCCACGATATATGACAAGAAAATCCACGAATACTAAACAAAATCCGACCAACATAACTGAAAGTTCACGAACTGAAAACAACAAAATCGCAGAAAATTCTTGAGTTCATCGACGTGTGAAATGAATACAAAATTATCTCTATTAGAAAAAACGTTTATCAGACACTTGAACGGTATAATAGAAAAGATAAAATAGAGCAAAAGCAAAAGTAATTTATCTAAATCACAAGCTGTAATACCATGTCTTGACTTAGTAAGTTCACTTTGAGTTTGAAATGTTGGAAGTTGATTGATTGATTGATTGATTGATTGATTGATTGACCTGATCTTTGAAGAACTGGCAGAGGAAAGGAGCTGAGAGATTCATACAGTAGATTCTATCCTTAGCTGCACAATATTTAGCAACCTTAAAATTAGATTTTAAAAATATTGACATTCATGTTAAAACAAGGGAGTGTTCTTAACAAATAAAAGAAAGTATGGGATTAATCCGAATAAAATTAGGTATTCATCGGTCCCTTTTTTCCTTAAAACAAATGGAATTTGTACAATGCTTCTTAGTTAGGAAATTTAAGCTATATTCAAAAAAAGAAGACCTATGTGTCAAAACTATGGAGAAACATTGAGTGAAAGAAAGAAAATAAATAATTCAAAGTATGAAGAAGAAAAATACCTAAAACTAAAAAAAAAGTACAATGTCTCAAACCTTCAGCATAGACTCAACGGATACAGTGAGGAAGAACCCAGCCGAGTAAACAACCTAAAAAAAAATAATAAGTTTTGATCTTAAAAAAAATGTCTTTGTGACCTAGGGTCTTGTATATTAGTTGGGAGACTTATATTTTTGCCCCCCCCCCCTCCTTTTCAGATCATATTTTTTCCCCAAATATACAACTTAAAAAACAGGTTTTTGGTTTTTTGAAGCCCACGCAAACTTCGAAGAAGTTTGCTCCGGCGGTAATGGTGGGTGCAGGAGGAAGAGCCCCCCTTGGAAAGAAAAATTTTGTATTTAAGTAGTATAATGGAGCGTTTTGGTGTCCTAAAAAGGTCAACTTCACGGTCCCCCTTGATTTTTTTTTTAATATTTCTGATTCTGTTTTTTTAATTGTGTTTTCTGTGGTTTTTTTCCCTTCCCTCTTGCCCCTTTTTCTTTTCCCTTTTTCCCCGTTTCTCTTCCCTCTTGCCCATTTTCCCTTCCCTCCTGCCATTTTCCCTTCCCTCTTCCCATTTTTCCCATCCCTCCTTTTCCCCCTTTTCTCTCCCCTTTTCCCTTCCATCTTCTCTCTCTTCTCCCTTTACTCTTCCCTTTTCCCATCCTTTTCCCCTTCCCTTCCCCTTTTTTCTTCATTTTTTCCCCCAAACCCAATAAAAGCGTATATTTTTGCCCCATCCCCCCCCGGGGGGGGGGGCAAACAGAAATATATACTCCCCTGCCTGGGGAAGAAAAAATCTAGTTTTTAATCTATGTCATTGTTAATCAAAATACATTTTTCTACATATGTTTTCATTATTCATAAAAACATTATTTTTTGACATTACCTGGGCCTTCTGGACTAGTTTCCAGTTGTCCTCGTCTTCCAAATGAGAAACCGTAAAATGATTTGCGGCATCGAGCTTAGTGACCAGAGATCTCTCATGTCCCGTGATAAGTACAGCACACCGACCTGTGGGATGCTCTGAGATCTGATATTTAACATTTACCCCAGCCTCCTCAGCTTTCTCTATTAGTTTATCTCGAGATTCGTCGGCTCCTAAGAATACAAGGAACTGAAAAACGGTAATTTATCTACCAAAGCATTAATAAAATAAATAATAATAGTTTTTTTCCCCCAAACAATAATAAATATTCCCAAATTGAGCGAAAAAGTCATAAAATTACGGCACTAATCGCCAACTTACCTATTTCTTATACCAATACACCAAGGGGATAAATGGTTGGAAGCTGGAAAAAAGGAATTTTCAAGGAAATATATATCCCTGCTTTTAAGTCCTCAACAACATGCAATACTTGTATTATAACCTACATTTTTTTCATCCATTCTTGCATAAATTCAGATATTTGTCTGGAGTCAACACACTCAACTTGAACTGTTTAATCTAAGCTAAGAAAACCCGTAGTTTTACCGAGTTCCTCAATTAAAATTGGAGGCAAATCGGTCCAGGGGTTCATAATTGGACATCCAAACAAACAAAAACAGACCGACGGACAAACATAGATTGATGCCTTATTTATACTTAGAAGATTTCTTACCAACACATCCAAAATAAGAAGTTGCTTTAGGTTTCCCTAGGATCCACTGCGCCACTCGGATAGAGTTCTGAGTAGCACCCCCTGCTATATATTCAACCTAGAAATAAAGATCAACTAAAAAAAATAAACATGTGTCTCATTCGTGTTTTACTTGTGCAAATTTTTCACTTAACAAAAAAATATCCAGAGACCGACTTCAAAGAATTGGAAAGGACGCTGAACTACCTGCCGCCAGGTCAAATCCTTATGAGTCTGTAACTTTGAATCAGTGATTTAAGATTTAGACCGGCTGTAGGAAGTTCAGCGACCCAGCTCGAATTCATTTAATTCGGTCCTATGAGTTCTTTCAAGTTTGAAAAAAAAGTAATGAAAAACATTTTTTTTATACCTCGTGGTTATCGACCAGATCTTTAAATATTGCCTCATCCTCCGTTAGGATAGCATCGTTTGCCTTGAGTTTATACTTCTCCAAGAGTTCAGGAGCAACTGATGCAGATATATCTGGAAATATTATAAAATCAAATAATAAAATTAAAAATGTTTTTTTATCAATTAAATAATAATTTGGTTCAGAGCTCGGGAGTTTAAAAATAAACGAAATCAGTAAGAAAAGGGAGATAAAACCATCTCTTTTGGTCAAATCCGATTGGACCGGAAAGAAAATGATTATCCCCCGTGCAGTGATAAAGTTCTAATTATTTCCACCCAAGAAACAGCCAATTGTCAATTAATTGTTCTTTTTAGAAAATAAAGAGCTGATAGAAATAAGTATTATTAACATTAATGTCTCTCGCGTTAATTTCATTAAAAATCTATTGGGAATTTATCCAATCACAACTTACAATGATAGTTAATTGATAAAACCCTGTAATATAACAATCAAGATACGATAAGAGGTCAAGAAAAATAATGACATTTCTTTAAGACAAGCAATATTTTGGGCCATTTTACTAGTCTTGATATTGTAAACAAATAACGAAATTTCTTTAGCCCTCTACAATTTACATGTTCGCTGCTGTTCCCAGTAGCACCTACCAAGCACTGGCCCTTTACAATTTACATGTTCGCTGTTGTTTCCAGTCGCACCTACCGTGCTCTAGCCCTCTACAATTTAAAATGTTCGCTGTAGTTCCCAGTACCACCTACCTAGCAGAGGGTTTCCCATACCCAGCAGAATACCTTCATTCAAGAGTTCGGCCATTTTGGATTCTGAAAATTTAGGCGGGATATTTAAAAACGCTATAAATTTAGATGCCAAATTCATTTTGAAGTATTTAATTAGTTTTTATTATCGACGTTTTAATTGCATAAATAATTTCTGTCGATATCATTACGATTAATTTTTAATCATGTATATTGCTTCAAGTGCTTCAAGCGATCATTAAAGAGATAAAAATTACATTTGATATTCAAATATGGCAAGACTAGTTACGTTTTTCGTCATGTTCTTTAATTACGGTTTGAGTTTACGGCACTTTTTAGATCAAGATTATCATAGACCACATGGATTTAAGCTTTATTTTAATCATAATCTGGGATATTAATAAACATGATTTAATTTTTTTACAATTATAACATTCATAACTGTAAATAGTGAAAATAATAATGCCCTGTATAAAAGCTTAATAACAAAATTTCAGAAATAGAAACAGACAAAGTTAGGATTATAACGAAAATATAACAAACACCAATTATGAGGTGAAACCGAAAAAATACAGGGCTAAAAAGTTAACATATTTTGAGTTTTATCTTAACAAAACGGTGGAATTAATGGATGTAATGTGTTGGAAAATTTCTGTATTAATTCTAATATTTAATATTAAAGTCGAAAAACAGAAAATTCGATTAATTATATGAACACTTTAATTTACATTTTTTCATCCATCTTCCATTCCCTTCCATATTTAAAATTTCAGTCCAAATCAGGATCTAAAATTTACTCAAAGCAAGACAATTGACTAGATCCTATTATAATGCCCTCTAAAATGTTTTTGCAATATTGTACACAGTACAGTACATTTGTACACTGTACAGTACATTTGTACACTGTTCAGTACATTTGTACACTGTACAGTACATTTGTACACTGTACAGTACATTTGTACACTGTACAGTACAAATGTACATTTGAAAACTGTACATAAAGAATAATTAGATACAGGATTCCGAAGATCAAATTTTTTAAAATTGATCATCATGTATCCCCTCAAAATTGACAGATTTATTTGATCTCAGGTGGGAACTCTTGTATTGTAGAATTCGAGATCAATGCTTGATCTCAACCTTTTGTTAATCCGCAGATTATTTTAATCTTTATTTTGTATTTGCAGTGTAACTGTACCCCGATGGGATAACTGAGATAAGGCATTTATCCTCAAATTAAAGTGCCAACTGCCCATTGTGGAAACCGGGATCAAGCTGTAGGTCGGGATTATGAGCATCCAACACTCTGCTCTGCTCTGATCCAAATTGAAGAAATATGGATTCAAACAAGAAACGCTTTTCTGTATTTAAGTGTTAGCAGCTAAAAATTACCAAATTGAGTGCTTTGTCACATCATAACTTAGTGAACTATTTTGTAATTTTTCAACGCTCAAATTGTACTAGTGATGATACTATTGTTCTTCTACTTTTCTAGACTTCAGGTTTGGGTATATATATTATATATATTAAATATATTCTATGAATTTCTCGACTTGTTGATCCGTCCAATTTTAGTCACATGACCTCGGTCTATCCATCAAAGTCAAGCCGCTGGCCGTTTTCTCTCCATTGAAGGACATTAAACCTAAAAATGATAATTAGAAAATATTCGTTATCAATCTTTAACGTTAACAGCTTAATTGTAAAAACTTCATGTCTTCCATGAACGCATGACGAATTTGATAAAATTGGTAGGTTTTCAAGTAAGTATACACTTCCTTAAAAATTCCCTTTACAACATCAAAAAAAAAATAATGTATTTTTGGTCCGAATTTTTTCGAAAAATTTAATAATTTTCAAGAAGAAGTATTTTTAACCAGGCAAAGGTGATGTGAAAAATATTTAGCTTTTAAATAAAATGCTTGTAATTAAAATGCTCTGAAATGAAAGGGGTAACTCCAGAAAGAAATGAGAAGTTAACAATTTTTGGACAGGAACACACACTAACACCAAATGTTTAAAGCATTTTTAACGGACTAAAGACGTGATTTTAAAATAAATAAATCTATATAATAAAGCTCTGAGCTCATGTATATTTGTTTATATGTTAGCTATAGCTGGCCGAATGGGCTGACATTTTTTGAGGGAACCCTTGAGTACCCTGGGGTTCAACAAGACCAAATTTTTTTTTCTTTCAAAAATCGAAATATTTTTTTCCCTTAATATTTAACTTTAAGAAAATTCCACCGGCAACGCCGGGCACTTCAGTTAGTAAATAAATAAAACAGTCTCACACCAATCCGGAGAAAGGTTAGAGTAGAGCCCATGTCACCGCACTACTTCCATTGTAACCCTTTAGACCTTTATCTGATCAAAGATAATAAGTTTTCTCTCAAATTTTTTATTAATTACGAAAGAGCCCCGCGCAATTATGCTGCATAGACAATGAAAGAAATTGTCAGAATTTAAAACGTTTAAATATAGAAACAACAATAACTTCCTCATTGCTCGCCATTTTTTTTCTTAAATGAAGGGTCACTTGAAATTATAGCGTCCACAATCCCTGTACAGATGAGTGTCAGTTTACCTGACTTGATTAGCGAAGTTAAGAACGTCTGGTCTAGTGGTTGCAACATCTCCAGTATTAGAGTTTATTATCTCTTCAATGACCTGGAGACCTCCCTCAGACACCACCAGCCCGCAGTACTTCTCAGGGGACACCTACAATACCATCCTTGTCACACAGGAATTATACAGCTTTTTTATTCTATTAACAATAGAGTTGGAGATTTAAGAAGATCTAGGTGAAGTACTGCTCGGTGTCGTGCATGGAGACTGGATCGAGTCTACCTCCAATGTGTTTTAATCATTTCAACACAATTTTCGACATCAAAACAAATTTTAAAACGTTAAATTTATTAGTTTACATAAATAAATGCTCAATTGGTTCAAAATGTAATTTAATGGAAAGGGGAAACGCAAAAAAGATTTTTCCTCGGAAATGTCGTCTTCCTTTCAAGTTATCAAACGATCATTATTTCATCGAGACATGCATAATATTGAGAGCGGTCAAACTCTGTTACTCGCTAATGCCGCAATGAATTATAAAAAGAGGGAGATTAGTATATATTTTAGGGTTAGGTTGGGACACTTTCTGGTCCGCGCGCTGCGGCTGGGACAGGCTAGGGGGCCGACGCCGAGGCTATAACTGTCTCTCTCTCTGTTTTATAATTCACTGCGGCATTCGCAAGTAACAGAGTTTGGCCGCTGCCTTAAGTGTTCGCAAAATCAAAATAAAATTGTGTAGATCTTTTGCATCATGATTTTTTATGCTCTGGGAGAAATGAAAAATTGTACATCAAAAGGGAAGTTTTATATGCTTTTTGGTACTTTTACCAAACATTTTATTTATTTACCCCTAATAATCATTTGTTTTCCACATTACAGTGAATAACACACAATAATTAATATTTAACATCTGGGGAAGAAAGATTATTTCAAGAAAATAAACACCCTGTATTTATGTAATAACTTACCTTTGTTAGATTAGCAATAGCCCAGACAGCCCAGAGTTGGCACTCCGGAGTATGGAAGATTGGAAGCAAACGAATAATTGGCTCGAAGGATCGATAATTTATATTTCTTGCAGAGTCTATCTGCCACCTAATAATAATAATAATAATTGCAGTCAACCTACAATCCTAAGAATTAATGCTTGAGCTCCCGTCAAGTAAAGTTCCCATAAATAAACTTAGTAATGAGTTGAGTGTAAAATCATGAAGCTCCCTAATTTGCGATCAATAAGTGCTTAATTTTTTTTTTAATTTCAGCATTTTTTTTGAAATATGCAAATAAAAGTTACAGCAAGGACTCACATTGAGGAATCAGGACATATTGAAAACCCACTTACAAATCAAATGAAATCAGACTTTTAGGGACGCCTTACGACCACATAAACAATCTTTAAATGACTTTACTAATTCTCAAAGATAATTTGGGTTTACGATATATGAGGATTTTCCGTAGTTACAATCCAACGCACTACTGAGGACGCACAGCAGTGTGCCATACGTAAATACAGAACAGCTGTATTTAATAGAATAGAACACTGACCTATTAATAGCTCTGACCATCCGTGCCAGTACGAAATCTCTCTCTGGTTCCTGTATAGTCCAGGCGTCAGGACCATCGCTAGCCATGTGGGCCAACACACCGGCTAAAACACATCCAATTCAGATTATGTCAAATTTAGTAATTTTTTATCTTTCCTGACTTACCCCATCTTGTCAATGATAACATTTTTATTACTTCTATTCCTGTGTTACCATTATGGTATTATAAAATAATAATAATAATAACAATAATGCATTTCGACATTATAAATTTATATAAAAATATTTTTTTTTTATAATTGTGTCGAGGACTTAGAGGTCTGCGACAGTTATTAATTTAGCCCTGGTACATACAAAATTTTACATGGATAAATAGAAAAGGATTGAAAAACATAAAACATAAAAAACAAGAACATAATAAAATAAATGGACATTGGCACTGAAATATCAGAAGCAAACAAAGAAGAAAGAATACTAGCAGGGATTAGATATTCACAGAACACAGGGCAAATACTTAAATAAATTTTAAGTTTAATAAATGAAAAGTAGTGCAATGACAGAAACAGTTTTCATTTCATTTCATTTAAACTTTTAATAGCATTCAGGACATAAAATATTTTTACATTTTTTGGGTTTATAAAGATAGGTATTAGAAAACATTTCTAGTGTCAGATGTTTTTAGATATAAACGTTTGTAGTTCAATGTATCAAGAGTTCCATTTAATAGGTAAATAATAAGAGGAAAGCTGTTTTAAGTAATTTGTTAACAAGTTTCAATTTTCAATGTCAGAATTATTTGTTCGAGCAGAGTTTGCAAGTTTGAATATATTATTATCAGTAGACATATTTGAAGTCGTATGGACATTCCTAACACAATTGGTCCTAACACCGACCCCTGGGGAATACAGACCTCTAAAGTTTTAGGTTGAGACTATACAATTTTTAGAAACTATTTGTTTAACATCTGATAAATAATCTTTAAACCAAAGACCTGCTAAACCATTAGATCCATAGTGTTTCAGTTTTTCAATCAAGATTGTATGATCAGCAGTATCAAAAGCTTTTTATCAAGAAAGATACTGATTGTAAATTCAAGTTCATCTTTATTCAATGCCATCATATATTTTATTCAAAAACTGTAAAACTGGTTGAACAGTGTTATGACCCTTTCTGAACCCAAATTGAAACTTATACAAGATTTGATATTTATTCATGAAACTTAACTTTTGTTTTGCAACAATTTTTTAGGGTACTTTGCTCAGACTGGGTATATGTAATAGTTAAAGTCTAAATTTTGCATTCTTCCCTTCACAATGATTTTCAGACTCTTTGAGAAGTCTTATTTTTCGAGCATTGTATTACCTGCATTATAGGAGACTTCAATGCCATCACTACTGGAATCCATAAGGAAGGAAAACTCCTCCACAAATTCACTAAAAAAATTATTTTTTTTTAACATTTTTTTAAAAAGGCATCGCTAGGACAGCACTTTTTTTGCATTTGTTTGTGGCGAAAGGATCACAATTTTACTTTTTTGAAGGGCTTGATTTCCACCATTACCGCCATTTTTATCTTTCCCGTAAGATTAAAAAATTTATCAGAGAGAAATTTTTTAAGCGATTATAAAAAAAAGTTTTCCTCCGTGGTAGGAAAAATGAACAGTTTTAGTGATGGAATTCATGCTGTCTCCAGTTATGATTATAAATAGCCCTAGAAACATGAAACAAAGCAATTGTACAATGTACACAGACCCCAATTTCATTAAGATGATATTCAAGCTACTACTGGTATATCTTTTTTATTTATAACATCAATAAACATTAAAACTTGACTGTGTGTACATATTCCAACATTTTATGGGTTCTACTGAATCTTACCTTGTCATAAGATATTTTCTTAAATGAGGAACTTCTGCAACATTTCCCAGGAGTCCCATCATATTCCTCAACAGATCCTGCTTGTCTGGGAACCTCTCCTAATTCATTATTATTATTATCAATATAATACAAGACATTCGTATATATATGTCACCGATAGCCGGACAAACGGCTGGACCGATTGGGCTGAAATTTTTTGTGAACACTCATGAGAAGCCGGGGCAGTGTCTTAGACTAAAAAAAATCGAATTTTAAAAAAAAAAATTCCCAGGGCAACGCCGGGCCCTCCAGTTAGTTATCATTGATATCATTATTATCATTATTATCATTATTATCATTGGTATCAATATTATCATTAGTATCATTATTATAATCATTATTATCATTATTATCATTATTATCATTATAATCATTATTAGCATTAATATCCTTATTATCATTAATATCATAAATATTATAATTATCACTTTTGTTCTTATTATCACTTTTATTATTTTTATCATTTTATCCTTACTATCTTGATTATAATTTTTTCATCATTATCAACAAAATCATCATTATCATCATTATCTTCATTATCATCATTCTTAAGGAACTTATTATTTGCCTCTAATATAATGTATTCTCTAGATCTTTTCAACCTCATGGTGTAAGTTATTGATATTTCAAACTTTGACTGGTTGTTCTAGCAGAATTTACAGTTTAAAAAGTTGTTGCCATGATAAAGGGATTAGTATTAGAGAAATCAGTTACTTTGTCCAATATCTTTAATCTAACCTTGCATTTGAGGAATAGATTCATCCCGTCCCCGTCCAGAAACCTCTTACAGTTGAACGGAGTCTCATCTGTCACATTCCACATTGTCGACCACGCAGTCTCCATCACGTCGTCGCAAAGCTTTAAACAAATAAAAATAATTATTTCCCCGAAACTTATGTTTATTCCTTAAAACTTTGCACAGCATGCCTTGACACTGCTTTGCTATTCAAGTCAAAGAGACTGTAAGTGTAATTTAAAGTCTCCTTCGATGCAAGGATGTCAATTTCCGATTAACAACGGTACCCTTCAAAGCTTTGTCTGATCAAGTATAAGTTAGATATCAATGTTTTTGTTTCTTTAAACTGTTTATTTTCATTGGCGGTTTCTCTGCGAAAGTGACTTGAAATGGTGAAACTTTTCCGAGTCAGATAAACGACTGTATCATTTATATTTTTGATGAGATTAGGGTTTAAAGGGTACCATCGTAAATCAGGCAATGCCATCTTTGCAAGAAGGGTGACTGGAATTTACGCTTTCAGTCCCTTCAAAAGGTGGGTTTAAAGTGGGGTAAATCCTTACCCCTGCCGACAGCTTGTCTTTAATGATCTGAAGCATCTTTTCTATTGCTCCTAATCCTCCAACCAGCTTCTTCTGTTCTCCCTCAACCTGTATTAAGATGATAAATAAGATGATAAATAAGATGATATATATATAATGATATATATGATGATCAAGATGATCAAGATGATCAAGATGATCAAGATGATCAAGATGATCAAGATGATCAAGTAAAGGATGATCAAGATGATCAAGTAAAGGATGATCAAGATGATCAAGTAAAGGATGATCGAGATGATCAAGATGATCAAGATGATCAGGATGATCAGGATGATCAGGATGATCAGGATGATCAGGATGATCAAGATGATCAAGATGATCAAGATGATCAAGATGATCAAGATGATCAAGATGATTAAGTAAAGGATGATCAAGATGATCAAGATAATCAAGATGATCAAGTAAAGGATGGTCAAGATGATCAAGTAAAGGATGATCAAGATGATCAAGTAAAGGATGATCAGGATGATCAGGATGATCAGGATGATCAAGATGATCAAGATGATCAAGATGATCAAGATGATCAAGATGATCAAGATGATCGAGATGATCNGTAGCAGGATACGGACTAATCTAGGATTATATTGGATACAATATGTGGCAGGATACAGACTAATCTAGGAATATATTGGATACAATATGTAGCAGGATACGGACTAATCTAGGAATATATTGGATACAATATGTAGCAGGATACAGACTAATCTAGGAACATATTGGATACAATATGAAGCAGGGTACGGGCTAATCTAGGAATATATTGGATACAATATGTAGCAGGATACGGACTAATCTAGGATTATATTGGATACAATATGTAGCAGGATACGGACTAATCTAGAAATATATTGGATACAATATGTAGCAGGATACAGGCTAATCTAGGAACATATTGGATACAATATGTACTATAACTATAACTATATAATTGGACCGTATCACGGGAAATAAACTTGACTATAGTGGACTGTATCACGGGACATAAACTTGACTATATTGGACCGAATCACGAGAAATAAACTTGACTATATTGGACCGTATCACGAGAAATAAACTTAAATATAGTGGACCGTATCACGGGAAATAAACTTAAATATAGTGGACCGTATCACGGGAAATAAACTTAAATATAGTGGACTGTATCACGGGAAATAAACTTAAATATAGTGGACTGTATCACGGGAAATAAACTTAAATATAATGAACCGTATTACGGGAAATAAACTTAAATATAATGAACCGTATCACGAGAAATAAAATTGAACAGAGTGGACACTGGACATTAAAATAAAACTCATTACAAATTTATTTGATTTTAGTATTATTTACCTTTCATAATCGAAAAGAACATCCTGCGGCATCGTAAAATGGCAGAGTGTTAAACACCCGTTCCTCATCATAGTCGGATCCGTCTGACAAAATATTGTTTGTTCAATTTTTTAACACTTCTTTGACATTATTCATTCTTTAGAGTAAAGATCATTGTCTTGGCATTAAGCTTTTATTATAGGACGAAGTCCTGGTAATGCCAAAGTTTTTAGCGAAATATATAAAGAAGAAAAGGATGTAATTCTAGTGAGAAAGAGAAGAGTTGAGATTTGTTTTAAAATTATCTAAACTAAAGTCAGACAAAAAAAAAACATCATTCATTTCAAAAATAAAAAAATAAGGAGGTAGATTTTTCCATTATTTAGTTGTCTTAATATTCTTTATAGATATAGTATGGGTATTGGGTATGACCATACTGAACAACATGAAAAAAAATATATTGTCAAAATCAAGGGTTTTATGTCTCAAAATCTGAGTTTTTTTGCTTTTTAAATGTTCAATGTTCATGTTAAAATTTTAGCGTATTTTTGAAATGTCAGCGTTCCCATTTTTGTTTTAGCCATGACAAACTAAATTTTCAAGAAAATCGTCTAATGTTGTTTAGTTTTCCAAGTTCATTTCTAAATTCAAAAAATTGATTCCCACTCAGTGTTTTTTGACCCATGGGAATTTCAATTTGCAAGAAAATCTTTATTTAAAATATTGTTTGTAAAACATATCAATTTCAATTCCGAGTGAGATAAGTGTATTTGCTAAAACTCCATTAACCCTGAAATTACAAAAATTACCTTGTGTGTTAGCATCCCGTTCAGTAATATCGATAAAATTTTTCGCTTAACCTAAAAATAAAAATAAATTCAATCATTTCTAAAAACGTTATTTAAATTTGTATAAAAATATATTTTCATTGCATTTTAAATTGTGAGAAATCATTATTACCAAGAGGATGGCTATGATTAAGTCAATAGTTGCTTTTCTCTAAAAATATTGAACATTCTAGATGTGTCCTTCCTAACAAAATTAACTCATGAAAACAAACTGTTCCTCCGGTTTTGAAATCAAAACAAGTTGTTTCAAAGCAAACATGTTTTGCAGTTTGCTTAAAAAAAAAATATTTTAAACTATTGGAACTGAATTATAAAATCATGATTTAAATAAACTTGCGAAGACTCAATTTTTGTCCAAATTTTTTATTTAATTCTGGGGAAAACTTTTAAGTAAAATTCCATCCTACCTTTACATTCAGATCTGGTTTGATTGATTCAGATTTAACAACATAGTAAAGGGAGGCACTGCCTGATATCTGAATATGCTTCTCCTTATTGTGTCTGAAAAAAACAAGGAATGTTTATTTTACAGAATTTTGGAAAATGATTTTAGATGATTTGGGAGAATTTAAAAATTGGAAATTAACTAGTAACTGGTAAGCTTGTCCACCCTTTATTTACTTTAAATCCCAAAATTCCTCCAATTTTACCATCAGAATTTTATAATTTTTCAAATCTTTAAATGGTCGACGAAACTCTATGCGACTTTTTTTGGAAGATTGTCTAAATTAAATCAGAGGATTAAAGAAACACGAAAATATCTTCCTCATATTGTTACTCCGATAAAGGGTATAGTTGTAAATCGGTCATGCTCGGGCCCTTATTTGTTAAACGGAAGGTCATTTGAAATTATCTCAACAGTCCTTTTAATCACAAACTTCTATTTTGCTTTATTCGTTGCCAGTATAATTTGTTCAACAGATACTCTACTCAGTTCATAGTAAATTTAATTTCTTCAATTTCTAATATATTCAGAGCTGTTCTGAATTATAAAACCAAAAGTTTTTTTTGGGTCGAGAACGGCACTCTATAAATATCGAGTCACTTGAAATCACGTTTACAGTCCCTTTACAGTTTAAGATATTGAAAACCAACCTCTCCATCGCCATGAGCAGAACCTCTAGTGCTAGCTTCAGATTTTGACAAGTTTCACTTCGAAACATTTGGAACAGGTCGTTCAATATATTCTCAAGTACAGACGCTCTAAAATATTTCAGATCAAATGTTAACAAATTTGTAAATTACAAAAAAAATAATAGCTTTTATTAAGTTGTTGACGCTTAAAATATTCTTAAATGTTTAAATAAATGAATATCTATTTATTTATCTGTCTTTTAACAATTTTTTTATAATTTATTTTTTATAATTGTTGTAAAATAAAATGGTACGAGGCAAAGTTAATAATTTCAACTGTTCATCTTTTTTCTCCTTTCTCCATCTGCACGTCCGCAGTTTCTCTTTTTCTTGCCTCCCTTTGGACGGCAATTTATGGCGCTGCTTTAGAAAACATTTTTACGAGTCGACAGTGCACGATCACCCTGTCATTGTATAGGTGTCCTCCTCTCCGTTTTTTGTTGTTTTGCTTAATTGTAATTGAAGCCTCAGCGCTAAACATTTTATTTACCTGTCTAGATAAAGTTGACCGGCCAGCAGAATCTGCTCTTCGGAATGATCCCCAGTTATTGATCTAATATTATATTATCAAAATTAAATATACTGTAGATTTCTACCTCAAAGACGAGGGAAAATAGAATAAATTTGTTTCATTTCAGATGATCTCAGTCTTTACATTGATGCTGATAATAAGAAAAATAATAATATCAGTCAATAAATCAATGAATCAGTTAATTAATAAATAAATCAATTAATCAATTATTCAATAAATCAATAATTCAATAAATCAATAATTCAATAAATCATTAAATAAATAAATAAATAAACAAATAAAATCAATCAGCCAATCAATCAATCAATCAACAATCCAATTATTAAATTAATCAATCATTTGTAGATCAATCAATCAATTATCAGATATATATAAATGAACCTGGCTGGTATATGGAGTCTACTGGAAGCATCATCAAGGGTTTTATAAAGTCCAAGGAAATTTAACGGTTTATCAACCCTAACACACAAACAATACAATATAAATCAGATGTATTAAAAAATATGTTCTTAAAAAACGTATTTCGATTTTTCAATTTTCGTCAATTCCCATAATCTAATCACTTCTTCTCTTTTGCAACCTAATGTCATCGACCTTAGATATTTGGAACTATGAAAACTAACGGTCAAATAGTCATTGATCAATAATGTGGAATATGTCGTCTTTTTTTTGAAAACTTGAAAAATATTAAATTATGATGATTTCCGCCAACAGTATCTGCAGAAGAAATGCGCAGGTCACTTTTTAAGATAATTGAAAGTGAGATTTACAGATCGTCCCATATCATATTAGATTATCTCCAAGCTATAAAGCCAGAATACGCACATAATACTCGAAATACGCACATAATACTCGAAATACGCACATAATACTCGAAATACGCACATAATACTCGAAATACGCACATAATACTCGAAAACCAGTATTTTCTGCACACAAATCTTTATTTTAGCAATATACAATTTTTTTTTAATAATTCGTTCTTTTCAAATTTTCTGATTAGTCCCGGAAATCTTAATTTAAATCTATAATACGATCCAATATGATGTCGGACACCCTGTAGTTCATATTTGACCCGACAAAGCTTTTAGGGGTACCGTTGTGAATCGGATGAAGCATCGCTTGAAATTACAAGCTAGTCCCTTTAATGTAAGCAGGCTGCAAAATACAGAGATTAGAAATTGAGAGTTGGAGACAAATAAACAGTTTCTTTTTTTAAACAAAAAATCATTTTAAAATTTTTTTACGCAGACAAATTTTCATTTCTGTGTTTTGTTGAAATTGTTTCCTTGAAACAAGCCCGGCAATATCGCAGAGTTTCCCTGGGACAGGATGAGTAGTTAAACTGGAGAGATTTGTTCCTAAACAACATATTATTATTATTATTGTTATTATGATTATTATTATTGTTATCATTAATAAATGACAACTAATCTTTTAGTGAAATAGGGTTGGACACTTTGGACTATTAAAATGTTTAAATTGGGAGCTTACCAGCAAACATTTCTATAATATATATTCCTATCCACTTCAAAATACAATTTTTGAACCATTGAAATATGAGGAACATTTTTGAGCTTGGAAAAAAAGACGTGTAAATTTTTTGGTTAAAAATAAAACTTCCCTTTGTTAAACTACAGTTCTCAAATTGAATCATTTATTTCTTCTCAAAATTAATAATTTGAAACTTTTAAATAACCAAACTAAAGCTTTTAAGAATATATCAATATAATGTATTTATTTAAAGTAACTGTAAGCGTAATTTCAAGTGACCCTCTATGCAAAGATGGCAATGCCCCATTTGCAGCAGTTCCTTTGAAAGCTTTGTCTGATCAAAAGTATGAATTAGATATCCATGTATAAGTTTCTTTAATGTTTATTTTCATTTGCAATGTTTATAAAAACCAATGGAAAACCTTGCAGGTATCCTACACATTTTGGATCAGATAAAGGTTTCAAGGGAACCGTTGTAAATCTGGCAATAAGTGTCACTTAAAACTACGCTTTCCGTCCCTTTAAAAAGAAGTGCTAGAGGTATTCTGGTCCCCAAGCAACTATCCACCCATCAAGACTTTCCACTGAACGATAGTGTTCAATCACACACGGGGTTTAAATCAACTTCATATTCCTACATGGAATGCAAGGTTGATATCAAATCTTAAAAACAAGGCTCACAAAATTTTCCTAGACGAAGCTCCAGAGACCGCCGCAGTGCCAAGACAACATACGATCCGCGTGTTTTAAGATAATAAAAAATGATTTCGTTTTTTAAATGAATACCTGATATATCCAGGGATGTCAGCTGGGGTAAAGATTCAACCAGGGTTTTAAGGAAGACGACTGGCTCCTGAAATATCAGACAAATCAATCAATCAGACCTAAAGTCGGACACTTTGTATGAGACAGCGTTTATCTAAAAAACAATTATTTAGCTGAACAAAATAGAAAAAATCATACGAACTTGAAAAATATGGAATTCAATTGAATTAGAGTCAAGGAAGCTAAATATGCAAAATCGTTCAGAAGAAAAGTTGCCAAGATATCAGTAAAAAAACACTGTGTATCATGTGGACATACTTTAATAACATATGTTTACTATATTTACTATATTTATCATCATTATTATTCTTAAAATGTACGCAGTACGTAAGCCCATTAATTTACAATTTTATTCGCTTATAATGGACCAACCAATTAAAAGAACCTAATCTGGTTAGGCGGGTCCAAACTACATAGTAAATTGTATTTTTGATTTGTATTATCTAGTGCTTTGTAGTTAAATGCAAATTTTAAAAATATAAAGACCTCAATATCCTTAGCGGAAACTTCTGAAATGGAGCGAATGAGCACCTAATACGTATAAAGTAGCAAAATCGTATTTTCCCGATCTCATTAACCAAGAAAGGATTATTTGTGAACTCTGGTTAATAAGACTTTATGGGTATTTAGATATTTCATAAATTTAGAAAATTTGCGAAGGAAATTTAAAATTATTCACCATATAATTCCTCCCTTAAATTATTCATAAAAAACGGGGGGGGGGGGGTATTTTTTACATGCACTTTTTGGTAATTCTGTTTATACCTTGAATTGTCCTCTGGAGTCCTTACATTGAGAAACATCCAGGTGCTGGAGTCTTGTCAGCTGTGTCAAGCAGTGCAGAGAACTTTGAAGGTCTAATCAATTCATTAATCAATCAAACAATCAATTTATCAATCAATCAATCTTTCTAACCGTTATACTTTGAGATTTAATTAATCAAGTCTTTCAAGGTTTTTTCAATCAATTAATCAATCTTTGAAGGTCTAATCAATAAATTTATTAATATTCAAAGATCTTATCAATTGATCAATATTTAAGGTCTTTGAATATATTTTTCTTGTAAATCTATTACTTTATCTTTAAAGGTCTGGTCAATCAATTAATCAATAACAACGATATAATCTTTAGTTCAGATCATTAATTAATCAACCGTTGTAGGAATTCTTAACAGTTCTAGAATTCGCTAATACAGGATATTTCATATTTTTTCCTCTAGGTTTGATACTACAGGGTTAGCCACAAAGGATGAGACTATAATGACGACCTGTAACTCTTTCAATATAATGATTGGAAGGATAAATTTGTTTTTGCCTTAAAAAAATTGACAGACTAATTGATTAAGCAAAGAGAGATATTAGCTAACTTCAGGGAATCTTCAATATAAGAATAAAGCCAGTCATTTCTGAAGTCTCGTCCCTTGTATTTTTTCAAAGATTATGTGAGTTATACTTTGCAATTAAATTTTTTTCCAACTTATTGAAATTGACAATGTAAAAAATATAAAAGAATAGTTCTTAAAATCAGAAATTTTACAGACAGTTTAAAGAGAGTGACCGGCAATGTATGGTAGTTAAACTGAGAATGCAGTATTGTGGAGAACATTTTTAAGAGACATGTAAAACGTTTTAATGATGTATAATTACTGAGTTTGAGCGCAAAGTCGACATTTAAAATCATCCATTTGGGTGGTTACGTTTTGAGAATCGTTATTTTTTTTAAATTATAATTTTGGAAATTTTATTGAAAAAACGACATATAAGAATTTGTAGAAATCTGCGAAAAAAAGAAATAACGATGAAAAAGAAATAATTGATTCTAACATTGATTTATTGACAAATTCCTATGGAGAAATGTTCCTAAACATCTGATTAGTTTACTGTCGAATTTTTGATTCATTTTTCATCGTTATTTAATAATCTTTTTAAAATCGATTCTCAAAGCGTAACCACCCAAATGGATGATTTTTAACGTCGACTTTACGCTCAAACTAAGTAATTATACATAAAACTTTTTTATGTCTCAAATGAATCCAAAATATTTTCTCCACGGTACCACATTCTCAATTTAACTACCATACATTGCCAGTCACTCCCTTTAAAACTGAACAAAAATGATATGACAACAAATGTTTTCAAACTTTTTTGTATATCAATCTATCCTGGCAGTTACCATCTATTCATTAATCATTAAGTTTAACTTACTTTTAACATTGTGAAGATTAAGAGAGACTAGAAGTTTACAGTTTAGAAGCCAATCAAAGCATTTAATCCCGAAATTGTGATTTAATCCTGGAACATCCAGCCGCAGTAATCCTTAAATAAAAAAGGTTAAGGAAAGATTGAAGTAAAATTAGTTCAACCATTTTTTCGGTTAAATCTTATTTCTATATTATTTCTAACCAGACTGGTACGTCCCCCCCCTCTAGTTTTTTTTTGCCGTATCACTATCAATTTTAACCCTATCACCATAAAGGATTTTTTAAAATAATTTTTTTAATGCATACGCTTTGAAAAATTGGACTAAGAACATTGAACATGCTTTTCAACTTTCTTTTAATTTGAAATTCAACGTGCAACATCAGGAGCTTCAGCTAAAATCATAATCTAATACCAAGCGCGGGAAAACGGCGTCTGAAAATATGACTTTGAATAATAAAACCATCTGGGCAAGGGCGGGTTCCCAAGCTAGTAATTATTATTACTATTATTGGCACCTGAGAGCGGTTTAAGCAGAAGATCGAAGTAACTTGAACCCTTTCGTACAAACAGATCTCGAATTATCAAACTCTGAAGATTCGGAGCCTAAAAAGAACAAGTTCGCCATGATAAACTTCCTCAAATTAAAAATAAACTTTTCATCCAGTTTCTAAGGCGTTCCTGATTTTACCTGTAAAATATATCCTTGCTTCTCGAAAATGTTTCCATCTCGTTCATCCTCGCTTTCAGAATCAGAAAACGTTCCCTTTAATAAATAATTTTTTAATCATTTTTTTCTAAAATATAACTTACAAAACTTTTAAGGCGCTTCGCGCCCATCCTCTATTTTATCTTTTAATTGTGGCTCTATCTGTGAGCATCTTCTCTTTGTACGGTATAAAACAAAACAAAAAAAGTTCGCTGAATTTTAAATATTTTTCCCGCATTTTTTAAATTTCACAAAAATCAAAAGCTTTTGGGTGCAACATCTTATAAATCTGAGCATTCATAAACCTTCCCTGCGGTCAAGCGAGTTTTCACACAAAATTTGGGCCCGATCGGTTCAGTCGTTTTGACGTTTATTGGATACAAACAGACAATCAAACAAACGGAAAGACAGACGAACAAACAAAGTACAGAGATAGATAAGATGTTTCCCCTCAAATAAACCCCAATAGGAAAACTTGTTGATTCAATACTATTTCATATTCATACTAGGTTAAATAGTAAAAACTAGAAACAGCGGTAAAAGCCAGGCAGCACAGAATACATTCTTAAAGATGTAGGAAGTCTGGAAGTATATACCTGAGGTTGCAAGTAGTCTGGAAGTATATACCTGAGGTTGCAAGTAGGCTGGAAGTTTATACCTGAGGTTGCAGGTAGTCTAGAAGTATATACCTAAGGTTGCAAGAAATCTAGAAGTATATTCCTATGGTTGCAAGTAGGCTGGAAGTTTATACCTGAGGTTGCAGGAAGTCTGGAAGTATATACCTGAGGTTGCAAGTAGTCTGGAAGTATATACCTGAGGTTGCAAGTAGGCTGGAAGTTTATACCTGAGGTTCCAGGTAGTCGGGAAGTATATACCCGAGGTTGCAGGTAGTCTGGAAGTATATACCTGAGGTTGTAGGTAGTCTGGAAGTATATTCCTGAGGTTGCAGGTAGTCTGCAAGTATGTACCTGAGGTTGCATATAGTCTGTAAGTATATACCTGAGGTTGCAGGTAGTCTGGAAGAATGTAGACCTCTGTACCAAGTTCTAACCTCTCCAACCGCTCAGAGTACTTGTTCAGATTATGCAGAGAGTTCACCTAAATCAATCAATAATTCAATCAATCAATCAATCAATCAATCTACTCATTAAAATATAAAAATTTTAAAATAAACAGTTTCTTATTTTAAAAAGGCGTGTAGTCTTAGTTGCATCATTCATTCCAAAATGTGTGTATTTTTTTAGAACTCTTTTTAAAACAAGAAAAAAAATGTCTGAAACAGTAAAACATTGAATTACCGTTAAATATTTGCATTGTTTAATCTCCAGCTCGCGTAACTCTTGACTAAAATAATACTTTATTATAACCAGATAGTAGTATTATTTTCCTTCAAAGGATTTCTTTTTTCTTTGAGTATAAAAATACAACTCACAAAATATATTTTTGAACAAACATAAAAAATATAAATCGGATAAATTTTACAAATTTTACAAATTTTAAAAAAGTAGAAATCATAAAATATATTTTAAACAAATATTGAAAAAATATAACTCGGAATATTTTAACAAATTAAAAATGACTCGGAAATTATATTTTAAACAATTTTTAATACATCTTGAGATTTTAGACATATTAAAATATTTGTTTTTTTTAAACTGAAGAAAAAAATCTATTTTTTTTCAAATGAACTGACAACAAAAAATTGAACCTTAACAACATTTTGAGCCCTTCATCAGAGACAGGTGAGTTCTCCAGAAATAAACTTCTCAGCTAAAAATTAAACAAAGTTAAAAAAAAAAGATTTCAAGAAGATGAAGAAAAAGAACAGATGAAGAATGTAAAGAAAATATTAAGAAGATTTTTTAAAGAAATTGAAATTTAAATCAAGAAATTAAACATTCAAAAAGATAAAAAAGATGAAGAAGCCGAACAAGCGGAAGAGGAGGAAAAGAAGGAAGATGGGGGAGGAGGGAGGGGGGGATTTATTGAAGTATTATTTTAGAAAAAAGAATATATAATATATATCCTTTAAAAACATATACCTTAGTTTGTCCAGGCTGGAATATATTTAGAAATTCATCAGATATATTTATTCCATCTTCCTGAAAATATAAAAAATATGTAAAAATATATTCAAAATAGAGATCAACAATTTGTTCTTTATATAGTTAAAAATGTCTATTAATAAAGTGAGTTGCATAGTAAAATTGTTATTAAAATTCAAGCGATCCTTCTTTAATGACAAGTTGAAAGGTAGATTCACAACAGTGCCCTTTAAAAATGATTTGTGTTAAATGGAAAGGATTCAATGTCAAATCATAATCATTACAGAAAAAACGGTATTTCCTTAAAGTTTCAGGGAGTGTTCGCGAAAAATTAAAAGGGGGTAAAGGCTTACGGCGAAAAATAAGCGCTTTTGATCACTTCTAATCTTACTTTAATCTGTTGCGTCTATAAGGAGAAAATTGTTATAAACGACTCTTGCTAAAGGACGTAACGTCCATAAAAAATTCAGAAAGTCAAAACATTCAACTCGGATCGTAAAAAAATCAATTAAATTCCAAACAAATCCCAAAATTCAGATTAGAACCCCCCCCCCCTTAGCTACTCGATTTTATTTTAATTAACCCAGTTGTAATTAGTTCACCGCAACCCACTTAGTGAGAAATATTCGCACATTACCTTTGCAACATGGATAAAGTTTTCGCACAGTTCTGCAGGCAGGTAAATATCATCCTTAATAATGTTATTTTTTATTAAATTTTACTTTTTTTTAAATTATCCATCCCCATCCCCTCCAACAAATGAAAAATTCCACATTTTGAAATATGTTTTCCACTTTAAATAATCTATTTTATTTTCTTATTTCAGCGATAAAACGTACGGATTAACACCAGTGCTTAGGATCTGGATCCGGATCCGTTGGATCCGCAAGACTTTGGCTTCCTGGATCCGGATCCGCCAAATATGCCGATCCACGGCTCCGGATCGAAGTGGTAAAATATCAACCAAAAACTGCAAAAAAAGCCTTTTTACTCCTAAAACCCAAATCTGAACTTTTGAAAAAAGAGAGATTATAAAAATTTCCTCATTCTGGATGGTTCATCAAGTTTTAGGATAAAAATAAGCGAAAAAAATAAAACAAAACGTTGAACATTATTTTTTGTTAAAAAAAATTCTGTAAATCTTAAAGAAATGACTTGGATCCGCATCCGGATCCGGATCCATTTTTTCCAATGCGGATCCAGGATCTGGATCCGGATCCGCAACAAAATTAAATTTATACTTCTTATAATTGGTTTTTTTTCGTTAAAACCTTTACATTTTCAATTTTAGCGGGAAAACCCCCCAAAAAATATGCAAAAATGTCTCAGATTGACGCTGTACCAACCTTTAAATGTAGAAGCCCTGTTTCTTCTCTCTTCGTAAACATCGAAAGATTTGACAAACAAAACCTGAGGATCAAAATATTAGTAAATAGAAATTTAATTACGTCCTTGGCCTTTGCACACACCGCCCGTCGCTACTACCGATTGAGTGTTTTAGTGAGGACCTCGGATTGCTTGCTGGGCGGTTCGCGCTGCCTAGCTGGCGAAAAGACGTCCAAACTGTAGNCCCCCCCCCCCCCTGCAGCCCCATCTGGACAAAACAAAGTACATTTTTAATTCTCCAAAACAATATATTCTTATTTTTTTAAACCCCAATTTTCTTAGTAAAACTGTTCAAATACACGACAATGATAAAACACATGTCAACATCTCTCTTTAAAAGGTTCTTCTTAATTTCCTTATCCCTCCAATCTTGTGTCGTAGACTTTTGATATTTCGAACCTGAACTATTCAATCTAGCAGAATTCATAGTTTGAAATATCAAAGATGTAGGAATTAAATTTTCAAATATATAGTTTAAGGTAATGTCATCAGTTCAATTCAAGAAAATGATTTTCTGAATGGAGAAGCATTAAAAGTAACTTCATTAACAGAATGACATGTCCGATTCACAACCGTACAAAACTCACTTTACAAATTGATTATTTTCATGCGAGGTTTCTTTGTTCAGTGACAATCGCATTTCTGCTTCGAAACGATGGCGTAAATTTAAGAAAAATATCCACTTTAAAACTAGAAAAATGACGACATCTCCAACATTTTAGAATTGAACAGTTTATTAAAAGTAAAACCTGGTAGTTGTTTGAACCAGTGTCTCCGGGGAGTTTGCCTCCCATACTTTTCTTCTTGTTAAACCCATCCTGAACAATGAACGATAATTTAATATGCTTTGCGCCGCTTTTTGTTGAAAAAAAACTAGCTTTTTACGTGTTGCTTTTCAAGTCAACATTTTACTACGTATAAACCAAGGAGATATTGAATAGAAGGAGGGGGCGATAGGGTTTCCGTACACTTTGCTGTGACATTTTTGGACTGCTGCAGAACTAGTTTTAACGTAACAACAATAACAAAGGCAGCCGATCTAATGTAAACAAACCTGAGTTAGTATACGGTGAATCTTCATCTAACGCCAGAGATGCACCAGATGTTTGTTTATCATTTGTGTTATTGTTTACAATCTTTGTTATTGTTGTTACGCAAAAACTAGTTCTTCAGCAGTCCAAAAACGTCACAGCAAAGTGTACGTGTACGGAAACCCTATCGCCCCCTCCTTATATTCAATTCTCCTTATAAACGAACACTATATATAGAAGTTAAAATTTTGCAACGGATTTCCAAATAAAAAAATTATCTACGTTTAATCGAAGCTAATTTTTTTATGAGGGTCATGAGGTATTCCTAACAAACAAAAATTGAGTCTGATCGGTTCAGCAGTTTTGACCATTATTAGATTCAAACAGGTCTGTCAAAGAAAGCGATTTTTGGACACCCCCCCCCCCTCCTATCAATTTTGTACATGATTTCAGCAAATTTATTATTATTTATTTTTTGGGGGGGGGTCCAAAAATCGTTTACTATAGACGGACCCATCTAGTGTAGCATCGCTTTATCGAAACAGCTAATTTATTTAGATTTAGTAATATAAAAAAGATACCTGCACTTTTTAAATCCAAAACAAAGTTCTAGGTTTCCATTATGAGTTTCTAAAATTAAAAATCTGAAATCTATATTCTTTGTTCCCGCCATCATCATTGGTATTTAATAATGTTAAGAACATGGCGGCTTTAATAAATTAGTTTAACATTGTAGAATAATGTTACACAAACGTATTTAATAACACTTATCACTGCAATAACACTGTTTTGTAAGTATCCCTGCGTGCTATAGTTTGTATAATAACATAAACAACTATAACTAAAAAACTGCATGATCAGCTGCTGCTGGGACAAAATGCAAATAATAATACAGAGAAGTAAACGAGGCAACAGCGACAAAGCCCAGGGATAAATATAAGTTTCTCTACAAAAATTAAAAAATGTATTTTTCAATTTCGTTTGAATTCGTGCAGAAAATGAAGAAGAAAAATTATTTTTATATTTATCCTAAAAATATAGGGTTTCTCAGGCCTTGAAATAATGTTTTGGGCCCTGTAATTCCTCTCATTTTAGACACCACAGTATTCTTGAGATGTACATTTTGAGAATTTTAGTAAAATCTTGATTTGCTTTATTATTTAAAATTTTAAAAATTTAAGTTTGCAAATAGGAAAGTGTTATCCCTGAAATGATGCGTGATTTAAAGTATAATTCCCGTACGCACCTATACGCACCACATCCTACTTCCGTAAGTTGCGTATAATACGCAACACCAATACGCTGCATTGCGCAAAGATCTTGAAACTATTTCAAACAATTAAGACTTGGACAATGGCAATATACATTTGAAATATTAATTGAAAATTAATATTTTAAAAAAATTTTGAATCATCCGTTTTGCCCTATACGTTGAACTAACATTAAAAAACATTAAAATTGAGAATAAAATCCATTTGTCCCAATTTTTTATATTTTAGTTAATCCTTGATGTCCATATAATATTATGAATTCTCTCTTCTCTCTCACTCATGCATCAAAGGTGTAATTTGAAAGCATCTTAAATCAACATTTGAATTTTAAGAGCATCAAAAGCAACAAGCAATCAAAATTGATGCCTTGCTCACTCTTTTTTGAGAAAATATTAACTTTCCAGTCAAAATATGACTTAATGAGCTAAGAATTAAGAAGCATTGCTTTTCCCTCTGCTTTTCAGATGGATTTAATACCACAAATATTTCTTCATCGGTTGTAAAACAAGATGAAATAAATTCTTCATTTTTCTGGTCAAAAATCATTTTTGATGCTTTTAAGAAAAACCTTAGAAACTAANATGCCAAACTTAACAGTTTGCTGAAAATTCCAAATAAGTAGTGGCCTCAAATTAGAAGTTAAAGGACTCTAAGTCACTTTTCTAAGGCTGTGCTACACATAATTGAGCCCAAAACATGTGACTTAGACAATAGACATGATAAGGACTGAGAAGGTGTTTTTGTGACTCAGAAGGTGTCTTAGACAAAGCTGTGACTTAGAATTTTGACTTGAAAAGTGTCTTAGTCACAAATTGGTCTGAAAAGTAAGACTTTGAAATTATTGTGACTTAGAATAAGCCTCGAATATAAACTGTAAATTAGACAAAAGTGTGACTGAAACGGTGTACTTAGACTTGTGACTTAGAATGGGTCTTAAACACAATGAAGCCTTAAAAAACATGACTCAAAAATAGTTTTGAGTTAGAATTGAGTCTTAGACATATTTGTTGGACATATTTGTTACTTAGAAAGTGTTTTAGAATGTGTCTAATGCATGTTTGTGACTTAGATTTTAACGTAATTGTGAATTATAATTGTGACTTTGAAATTAATTATGTCTCAAAAGTATGAGTTTGACAGTAGAATGGTGATTTAGAAAGTGACTTAGACATAATTGTGACTTAGAATTGTGACTTGAATAGTGTCTTGACATAATTTGGTCTCAAAAGTATGACATTGATGTAAAGCTGTGACTTATAAATGTGATTTGGAATATGTCTTACCATGACTTAGACATGGATTAGAGTTAGAATTGTGACTTAGAATGTGTCTTAAAGTTGTGACTTAGAAAAGTGTATTAGACATAATTATTTCTTATGAGTTTGTCTTTAAAGTTTAATGGTGACTTAGAATAAGTCTTAGTCATAGTTGTGCATTGGAATAGGTTTTAGACAAAATTGTGACTTAGAAAGCTTCTCAGACATAATTTGGTCTCAAAAGTATGGCTTTGGCTTAATTTGATGCTTTCAAGAAAAATCGGAAAAAAGAGTAATAAGGAATAACAGATTAATATTCACAATTACAATAAGGAATAACAAATAAATATTCACAATTATAATAAGGAATAACAGATTAATATTCACAATTATAATAAGGAATAACAGATTAATATTCACAATTATAATAAGGAATAACAGATAAATATTCACAATTATAATAAGGAATAACAGATTAATATTCACAATTATAATAAGGAATAACAGATTAATATTCACAATTATAATAAGGAATAACAGATAAATATTCACAATTATAATAATTAATATAATAATTTTAGAAAACTTTAAAGTGCCCTATATAGGATATAAAATTAATCAATTATTATCTAGTTTTGATGAATACTCATACCAGTCAAAATTAGTGCAAATTTCATATAGTTATTGACCTTAAATCACAAGCAATCTAAGTCACTTTACTAAGGTTTTTCTACAAAAATTGAGAGAAATTTGACCCTTATATATAAAAATGTATTGATATGGCATGCTCACTAAGACATTGTGACTTAGAAATGCGACTTAATTGTGACTAAGAATTGTGACTTAAAATTGTGACTTAGAATTGTGACTTTTAAATGTGACTTGGAATGTGAATTAAACACAATTTAGGCCAAAAAGATCTGGGACTAAGCTACATGTGTGTGACTTAGAATTGTTTCTTAAAATATGTGTTGTACATAACGTAGCCTAAAAAACATTACTTAAGACATAACTTAGACTTAGAACTGTGACTTAAAACGTGAATTAGACATAATTTGGTATTAGAATTGTGACTTAGGAATGTGTCCTATACATGATTTTGACTAAGACTTGTTTCTAATATTATTGTGATTTTGTGTATAAGAATATTGGATTGGATTGAAAATAATGAAATCTATGAATGGATATAAGAAATTTGTCGAATTAGTTGTATGGAGGAACAATTTGTGCATGCATGCAACATTATAGTCATCTTCTTTCATTTTGGGTTTAGACCGTGAATATGCCTTAAAAATACGTATTGTTATGATTTTTTCAAACCTAAATCCGCGTTTAGGAAAAATCTAAAAATTTCTGATTCATTGGATTTTTTAGGTTTTTTTTACTAACACATATTCGCTATTAAAGTCGACCTACTCAACTTAGAATCTCAAAGTCATGCTAAGAACATTCCCGTGGTCCTTCCGAGTTTTATTATTAAAATTTGAAGCAACTCGGTCCAGTGGTTCCTGAGTTACGATTGGACAGACAAACAGACAGAGATTACAACTTTATATATAAATTGTCAGCTATAGCTGGCCAAACGGCTGGATCGAATGGGCTGAAATTTGTTGAGGAAACCCATGGGGTAATATATGCTAAACAAATTCAAATTTTATTTATTTCAATTTTTTTCACTCCAGCTAGTGATCCTTTATAAAAACGACTAATATTTTTACGATATCATATCAGAAAATAGATTTTTATTTGTCTTTGAATTGCAAAATCATGAAATGTCCTATCTATGAAATGTCTTTTATGAAATATCCTGGTTACAAAATGTCTTCTAAAAAATGTATAAGACAAAGTATGATTTAAAAGGTTTGAAGTGTCCTACAATGTGTAAACATGAAAGGCCCAAAATGTCTGTTTATGAAATTTCCAAGCACCCTATTTGTGGCATTGTAAAAAAGAAAAGGGACAAGGAGGATAGAAGGGAGGGAGTATAGAGGGGAGGGAGGATAGAGGGGAGAGGGGAAGGGAGAGCGAGAGGAAGGGAGGATTAGCAGGAACAAGAACATAAGCAGGAACAAGAACATAAGCAGGAACAAGAACATAGCCAGATATGTAGGAGCAGAAACAAGAACATAGGCAGAAATATAGGAGCAGGAACGATAACATAAGCAGGAACAATAACATAAGCAGGAACAAGAACATAGCCAGAAATGTAGGAGTAGGAACATGAACATAGGCAGAGATATAGGAGCAGGAACAATAACATAAGCAGGAACAATAACATAAGCAGGAACAAGAACATAAGCAGAAATATAGGAGCAGGAACAAGGAAATGAATCGAGAGGAGAAACAGGAACATGAACAGGAGTACCGGACTGTCAGTACACTAATAGAAGTAGGAACAGGAACAGGAGTAGGACTGTAGAAACATAAACAGAAGCAGGAACAGGAACAGGAGTAGGACTGTAGGAACGTAAACACAAACAGGAACAGGAGTAGGACTGTATGAAACATGAACTTAAACAGGAACAGGAGTAGGACTGTAGAAACATAAACATAAACAGGAACAGAAGGAGTACTTCAGGAACATAAAAAGAAGCAGGAACAGGAACAGGAGGAGGACTTCAGGAACATAAACAGAAGCAGGAACAGGAACAGGAGGAGGACTTAAGGAACATAAACAGGAGCAGAAACAAGGAAAGAGCAGGGACTGTCATAAGTTCAATTAAAGGGACAGCAGGGGCAGGAAAAGGAACAGTCAGAACCTGGAACAAGGACAGTTCATGAATTAAAACAGGAAAGAAACAGCAAAGAGGGGACAAGAAACAGGAAAATAAATCTGATTGAAGTTAACAATATTGATCCTTATCAATATCAAAAACATATTGAATTTCAATATATTGCAATAATTCAATTTGGAGTTACATAGAAAGCAAGAAACACAAAAATTTAATATTAAAATTGTATTTATAAACTTAAATATACAGATGACCCGTACCTTCCCTTAAAGTTTACAGATATAAGTTCTTTCTCTTCTGAGCTGCCAACTTTTAAAGATAAATAATCTCTTGATCTCCGAGTTAAGTTTTCTCTTTGAACGCTGGTTAATATTGATATATAAGGATTATATCGTGAAAATTCCAAAAAGCTCTGGAATGGGAATTCGGCTTTTAGACTCAAGTGCAGTGAAAACAGACCCATTTCACTTAATACATCATTTGATACTAATACTATGTAGTTTTACTATTTGCAATTGTAACAACAAAAAATGCAGTTTAGTATTGTTTTAATGTCGTCTTCCTATTATTGATTGGTTTCTGGTAGTTTTTTTTTAATTCAGAATTTGAATTTTTCAGGAAAAATGTGAGAGTTTCTAACAGCCTAACTGTGGCTTTTCTTTACTAAGTGGTTTACTAAATAATCAAATAATCAATAATCTGTGATTTTTTGTTTACAAGCATATCATGGACATCTTGTGCAGTACACTGTGCACAGTACACAATAAACTCTTGAACTATAAAGTGTACATAGAATAATCTGTAGTGTACACAAAAAGTACATAAACATAGTTTGAACTAAACCAAATAAAATGAAAATAAAACGGTGAAAAAATAAAGTTAGAATGACAAGAAATAGACAGTTTTGTCTCGATATTTGACTTCAGTGATATTATTGATAAATCAATCGATACTCAAGGAATAAATGATAACTTAAAAAAATTGACAATTTTTTCTATGTGGAAGAAGTTACTGCTAACATGATCAATATGAATTATGGATAATTTTGATAAAATACTGTATAATTGACACAATCCGTTTCGTTGAACATACTTTATTCAACAGTTTTTTTTATTATTCTCCTTGCAGTGCTACCTAAGTAAACTAATGATTGATTTCATTTATTTAGAAAGTAATTATTTAATGACCCCTTGTGACCCCTCACGACCCTTTGTGACCCCTCCAATTAGCATGATAAGCGTGACAATTAGGGTTTCCAGTGAACGAAGCGTTTCACGAAAAAATGCGAAAATTTTCGGTCTCATTTCGCAAATTCTTTTTCGCGGAACAGATTGAAGCGAAATTTCGCGAAAAAAGCGAAAATTTTCCCATTTTTCGCGGGCGAACGAAATTCGAAAATGAAGCGAAATGGTCGCGAAAAAATTTTTTTTTGCGAATAATTGGAAATTTTTCCTTTTTGCTGGAAACCCTAGTGACAATTTTCTCAAACATTTATAGGTTTCCTTATCATGAGATAGCTTGCACTAAGCATGCAACCAAAACCGTCAAGAAAATATTTATTTCTAGATAAATATTTTCACAGATCTTACTTTTTTTACTTTTTACTGCAATACATACATTTTCATAAAAATACTAAATTTAGTAAACAAGATATATTTTTTTACTACGGAGATAAATAAAAATTATAATATATCTATTTATTGTAAATAAAAATTCCTCGGTTGGATTTTATATGTTTTAAATCTATAGATTTAAAAAACGATAAATAATAAATAAAATATACATAAATAAAACAATAAATAAGATAATAAATATAAAATAAAATCCAAACATTCAATGCCTTGCAAACCATCCACCGACTTTTCTATGATTTTATTGCCAAAAGCTGTCTCAAGTACTTTTTAACCTTAGTCATTTGATCCCTTTAAAGTGTAATAAACATTAATCAGTTAGTCCATGAAATGAGTGTTGTTGAAATGTTGAAGCTGTAAAGTTAACAGCCATAAATCATGTTTTTTTCCATCAGCTTCTAATCAACGAGTATGAATTTTTAAACAGTTAATTAATTTTATACCTGGTTAGAAAATACGCATTTAACTCAAGTTGTATATTTTCTTCATTTGTCCCAATTGGACAAATCTTACAGTTGTTGTCAAAATAAATTAAAATAATACTTCTCTTGAACTGAAATGCTGACTTTATAATCATAAATTTAACAACAAATATTATTTAAAAGTTTAATTCTAATTTAAATTTACCCTAAAACATTTCTGCTAATTGTATTCATTTCACAGTAAACTTGGGAAATGCATTCAAGAGACAAAAATTTGCATAAACTTTAAAATATTTGCGAATCCGAACCTGTTTCGGTCAGAAAAGGAACAACAAATTTTGGGTGAAAATTATCCTAAGGAATAGCGAGCTAAAACGTGATTGTATGAAATGAAGAAAAGCAATAAAAACTCAAAAATACTGCAATGCAGTAAAACCTTTTCCTCCACAATGTATGTGAAAGAAGCAATTAACGAAACTGCTCTAATTCAGGGGCGTATAAGAACATAAGCAGGAACAGAAAGAAGCAATTAACGAAACTGCTCTAATTCAGGGGCGTATACAGAAATTATTACAGAAGGGGGGGGGGGAGAATTAAGTATAAACCTCTTTTTGAGATTTTAGTTGGGATGGACTCAGCACCCGTTGGGGGCTGAATCCACCTGGAAATCATAATTTTCCTTTTTTCAGGGCAATGGCTTAGCCCCCATAGCCTCTGTAAATATGTGCTCTTTGTCCTCAGAAAATACAAAAAAAGTTATCATTTTAAAATATGTAGGACCAATACGATGTTTAATCCGTTGACGGACCCCCCGGGATACTTGACTGCCTTTAGCGAGTGCTTGGCGGGTGCCATTTTTTTCCCATGTGTTTTCATCACGATACAGTACATTCTGCAAAACAGCTGGATCGGTCGTCAGATATGTCGTCTTTATTCTCTTAAAAATCATGGCGTCTACGACATCAGCAACAAACTTACTTCTTCTGTCTTTGCAATACTAGGTATTTTTTATTCAGAACCAAACCATATTCTGATATGGTTCATTTTAGATAATTTTCGATTTCAAACATTCTAGATAATTTCTCTTTTGGTCTTCTCAATTTCAAAATTAAACCTGTCTTTCCAAAGTGAAATATTTTCAAAATTTACAGAAGATTTTTTACGAATTATACAATTGTTGTACAATATTATTATGTACCGATCTATTTAGCATGTTACTGCGGCATGTACGTGTACATGAACTGTGGTGAGGATGTACTCAACGAACGGTTCTATATACTCGAGAATTACCTCATATTTGGTGTATCGTACTTCTTCTACGACTGTGTCACTATGTACATGGTGTACAGGTATATTAACTTATACAGTAGTAACCAAAAACAATGAAAAGACTGTCACCTTCATTCTTTTAACAAGGAAAGTTTATAACTGATGTATCTTTAAAAATGGTGATACAGGAGACATTAAATAAAATTAGTTGTAAATTAAGAAATTGTGCGAGCTGATTATTTCAATGTGTTTTGGTTACCAATTTTTTTATTCTAATTGAAATGTGCTGCGTTAAAATAAAGTACGTATCAGCATGTTATTGTAGGCTATTAAAACTTGTCTATGTTGTTGGCATCAAGAAGAAAAATCCATCATTAACCCCTCTTACATTGTTAACGAAAACGTATATTTTTTTCTAAAACAAGAATCTTTATTACGCCCGGTTCTCCGGAGGGAACATAAAACTAAACAGACAAATCATACCTCCCATGATAAGGCCGATTTCTCATATACTAAACAAATTTGCCATTTTTCAAGAAAATATATGCAAAGTTTAATAAAAAGCAAACATTTACAGAATACAGTTTTCAAATGTTGGAAGTTAAATTTTTTTTTGGTTGCCTATGGTTGTCCCATCACAAACTGCAGTACACTTTTTTTGTAAACAAACATATTGGGTTTATGGTAAACAATTTGGGTTTCTCCGTAAACGGTACTGACACTTCACAGAAACGTACGTATAGGAAAAGTATAGCAATTTTGATTTCGTTCAATGATGTTAGTCAAAATCTGAATTTAGATGCACATTTTTTTCTGTGCTTTATTTCAACGAAAGTTTAAGTGAACTTTGAATTAAAAAAGGAAAAGTAAAACTAAAAAAACTTCTAGTTGAATCCTTTCTGCACTTTTTATTATCTAGAATAAAACGAAGGAAATGAATACTTGCATCAAACTCTAATTTTCTAATATTTAGTTTGAAATATAAAAACTTATCTCATCAGGTTGCAAAGATTATAATTTTAGGCAAGTGTTCAATTCCTTGAGAACAAAGTATGTTAAAATCTTATATTTACAGATTATTGAAATGATAAATGATTTTTTAAATTTCTTATATAATTAATTTTCTTTGAAAATACAGGGTGTCCCACGAAACATGACAGTTGGTAAATAGTTTAGAATGTCTTCTTCCATAATTTCTTAAGTTGTTAAATACCAAAGACTATAATAAAAATATTATATAGGAGTCATATTTTAGTAAAATTAACTTCAAAGTAAAATATATTTGAACAAAAAAATGTTTTGAACGACATAAACTGCAAACGGCCATTAATATATAATTGTTAACATAAATTCGAAAATATAAGGAAGACGATTTTACCGGCCCAAAATGCCTCTGTTAATTCTCTGAATGCGTGTGTACACAGGAACCACGAAGTGAAGCAAACACGCCCCACATGTCAAATCCCCGCTCAACCTAGCTCCTACTCCATACAGCGTCAGTTAGCTTTAGAATGTCGAGATGCGAACACCTCTAACATGGAACTACTAACTCCTTCATCCCGCCGCCGATGTCTACTCTAGCAACAAATGCTGCTAATGTCTAAGCCGACCTCCAAGGTAGTCGCATGTCCAGGGGATTGAGAGGCAAATCAAGTTCCTCCCTTCACATGTTACAGACTGCAAAACCCCCCTCCAGAGTTGCATGTCCTAGGGGATGAGAGGCAAATCAAGTTCCTCCCTACACATGTTACTGACTGCTAATCCCCCAGAACTGTCGCTTAGATGTGAACCCTTTGATGCCAAGATGCTGACACCTGTGAGCTGACCATCATGAAGCTCCAACTGTTCCAATCCTTTCAACACCATTACCAACATGAAGTTGCTGCTGATGTTTGTCTTTTCCTTTATTAATTTCAATCAACCAATTTTAACTTAGCTATATGTGCAAATATTTCAAAACAATTTTATTTTTCTTTAATAAATGTTATAGAATATTTGGGTTTTTCCTGATTTCTTTATTAGAATATTTTTTGACCTTTTTTAAAGGTCAACAATAATATGTATGGAAGACGGCATTCAAAACTATTTACCAACTGTCATGTTTCGTGGGACACCTTGTATCTAAAGATAATCAACTTATCAAAAAACGTATTTATTTACATTGTTTAATTTCTATTGAAAATTGTGTTTGAAGTTTTAAAGATTATTCTTTAAAACAACCTTGGCTGTATTTTAGCACCTAAAATGTCAAATTAAAACTTTGTTTCGGAAAAAATGTTGCATTTTCTGAGTGTTTTTAAACTTTAACACTTTCAGTTCAGTTTTAAATATAACCTTGGGAAAACTTGATAAAAGAAATAGTTTTGAAATGTTGTTTATGTAAATATTAATTTGTCAAAACATAATAATTATGAAATATTTTGATAAGTATTTTAACAAAATAAAGTATTGGAAAAAAATGTTAATAATTTTTTTTCTTCATTTTTTAGCACTGAAGAGAAGGAGGATGTTACAGTTTCTTCCAAAGAAATAATCAGGTATTCCCCCACTTTACCCCTCTCTATTCCCGTCTAATCCACCTCTCCATTCCTGTCAACTCCCCACTCCCTCTCCCTTCCTAGAAACTCCCCCTCTCTTTCCCATTCAGTCAAATCCATCCCTCCCTTCCCTTCAACTATTGTTATTGTCAAGAATATATTAAGGTAAGTGCATTATTTGTGTTTTGAATTTTATCTTATTTTTATTCTAATTAAGGTTCTGTCGTTATAATTTTAAGTGACATTCTAAATATTGAAATTTAAATATTGAAATTTAAATATTGAAATTATCATCGTTTGTTGAGCTTGAAAAGTGTTTAATTCTAACAGTTTCTTCTGTTGATTCTGTGAGCAGAAATCCACAAATCCCATTTATGTAGAAAAACCTCACAATTGAAAGTAATCAATTGTTAAAAAGAGAAACAATGGTAGCTCGTATGTTCATTTTGGATCAGACAAAGGATTTTATGGTACCATGTCACTCTAGAAATGGGAGACACTTGAAAGAAAGTGTTCACTGTACAGCCCTGATAAATAAGAATGTTCAGAATATTGGAAAAGGACAAAATTCATGGCACGTTTTTTCTAAAACAAGCTGAAAACAGTTAATTCATCATATTATTGTTGCAATTCTTGTCATATTAATAGATATAAAGAAAATGAGTACTCGCCTCAAACTTTAAATTTCTAAACTCTATCTTTGCAGCCTGATGATATTTCAAACTTTGATTAATTGATCTATGACCTTGAAGAACTCGTTGTTGAAAAAATATAAAATGTCTATTTTATTATGTTACAAAGATTTAAAGATAAGCAAATTAGAGTTTAATACAACTGCCCGTTAATTTCTGTTTTTTATTTTTATTTTGGGCCTTTTTAATTTGTTACTACTGCCCTTTAATATTCGGTTTTGAACCTACCGCCCTTTAATTTTAGGTTTTCAGACCAACCTTTAATTTTAGGTTTTGAACCGACCCCCCTTTAATTTTAGGTTTTCAGACCAACCTTTAATTTTAGGTTTTGTACCGACCAACCTTTAATTTTAGGTTTGGTATACCTACCAACCTTTAAATTTAGGTTTTGAACCGACCCCCCTTTAATTTTAGGTTATCAGACCAACCTTTAATTTTAGGTTTTGTACCGACCAACCTTTAAATTTAGGTTTTGTACCGACCGCCCTTTAATTTTAGGTTTTGTACCGACTGTTTTAAATTTTAGGTTTTGTAAAGACCGCCCTTTAATTCTTCTTCATCATATTTTTGTTCCACTTGTTGGGTTCCCTGCACTAATGTTTGCAAGGTAAAAATGTTGTACTTTTTACAATTTTTGTACTTTTTACACTTTTGTACTTTTTACACTTTTTGTACTTTTTACTCTTTTGTCTTAATTTATTTTAACAAAATTTCAAACCTTTTTTCCTGGGTAATCTCAAATTTTGTTAATCGCAAACCAAAGACGGTTCGACATTTCGGACACTACGTGAGAATTGGAAAACACTTATTTCTGATCCAGGGTGTCCCACGAAACATGAGAGTTGGTGAATAGTTTTGAATGTCTTCTTCCATAGACTATATTAGACATTACAGTCATTTTGCAGTTTATTTCTTTTACTCAAATATAGTTTACTTCGAAATAAATCTTAATACAATATTACTGCCATATAATATCTTTTATTAGTCTCTTATGTCTTATCTAACAACTTAATAAATTAAGGAAGAAGACATTTTAAACTATTTACTAACTGTCATGTTTTGTGGGACACCTTGTATTTGGTTGGATTTGTTGCTGCTCGTTTCTAATTTCCTATTGGTTAAAGAAAACGGCTGAATATACAGAAAGGGGTCAGATCAAAATACACTTCTTACCGTAAAATGTTTAAATAATTTCCAAATTTTTAATTAGGGGCGGACAAGGAGATTGTTTATTGGGAACATCATTCTTAGTTGAAGCTTCTACACCCTTCGTGTCATTTAGGGTAATCCTTTGCCATCTAGGTTTAAAGGTTAGTATTATTATCATCATTATCATCATTATCATCATTATCATCATTATCATCATTATCATCATTATCATCATTATCATCATTATCATCATTATCATCAATTATCATCATCATCATCAATATCATCACAATCATCATTATCATAATAATCATCATATTCATCATTATCATCATTATCATACTTATTAAGGACTCCCCTGTGTATATTATAAATGGATTGATTATGCTCGTCACCTTCTTCTTCTGCCGAGTAGCAATATTCCCTTGTCTGTATGTGTGGTATGCAAGGTAAACAATGCAGTACGTTACTACGTAGTAGGGAAGGTCGTAGTTTTAATTGGCTCTTCATATTTGGTACAAATTAAAACTGTATCAAATCAAAAATGTGGATGATATCGTTGTTTTTCTATTGCATAAACGGTTAAAATATGACATTTTCCTCCTTTGTTTCTGTAGCAGAAATGTTCAAGTCATGATCATAGAGAAACCATAATTGAGTTGATTTCGTCCTTTAAAGGGTTGGGTTAGAATGGAGGATTACTAATTACGTCTTTACTGTCTCTTTAATAAGTCTGACAATATGTTAGATTATCTTTACTGGCCCTTTAATAAGTCTGACCTGACAATATGTTAAATTATCTTTTCTATCCCTTTAATAAGTCTGACAATATGTTAAATTATATTTACTGTCCCTTTAATAAGTCGGACAATATGTTAAATTATATTTACTGTCCCTTTAATAAGTCTGACAATATGTTAAATTATCTATATCTGTAATATGTTAACTAATAAACAGTATCTATCTATCTATATATATATCTATCTATCTATCTATCTATCTATCTATCTATCTTTCAGTCTGACTGTCTGTCACTCTGTCTGCCTGTCTATCTATCTATCTATCTTTCTATCTATCTCTAGGTTGGAGGGATTCACTGTTCTACTCTCTGTTCCTCTCTGGGTTCATCTAGCAGTGGCGGGACTATGGTTCCCTCAGGTATCCTAGATATACTAGATTTAAACAGTACAACTATCCATGCATCCTAACCCCCCCCCCCCCCCCCCCCCC